AGATAGAAAACAGATTAAGTCTGAGAATGGAGACATTTTATTGACTTGGAGGAGCCAACAGAGAAACAGTAAAGGAAAACGTAGAGTTCAAGGTTAGATTGGGGGCAGGTACAGTAACTCACACCTGTAATCCCAGCACTTTGGGAGGCCAATCCAGCACTTAAGGTCAGGAGTTCCAGACCAGCCTGGCCATCATGGTGAAACCCCGTCTCTACTAAAAATACAAAAACTAGCTGAGCATTGTGGCAAGTGCCTGTAATCCCACCTACTCTAGAGACTGAATCAGAATCACTTAAACCGAAATAGAGGTGGCAATGGGTCAAGATTGCCTCATTGCACTCAAGCCTAGATGGCAAGAATCAAATTCTGCCTCAAGAAAAAAAAACTGACTTGGGAGGTAACATTCTGTTTTGCAGCTGACAGTGGACATAAACACCAAAAGTATCAGCCTGGGCAATTCCGTGAAACCCCATCTCTACCAAAGGCCACTTCATCTCCCTTCCATTCTAATTAAATGTATTTAACAGCCCTAACAGTGCCATATATGCAACAGGCACTCAAAAATTAAGATTGGGGACACAAGGAAACTACAATTCAAAGTGAACTTTCCTCAGAAGGGTCAGTACATGAGGTTGACAATTTCAATGCTAGCAGTCGAAGATTGTACCATCGTGAGTTCATCCATACACTTCGAAAAACTTAGCTCTAGAGCTCCTTGCTTTCCAGGCCACCAAATGTACCACTACCATGCTGTCAGCCAGCGTTAGCCATGTTACAGATGCTACCAAACCAACCAGTACAGGAGACCCTACTCTGGCAGATTGCTAAAGCCTTAAGCCTGATATACAATGCCAAGAAAAACATTTAAGAATATGGCCTCACATTAACTGTACACTCATCCAAATTTGCAATATGCCACACTATCGGTCATGGCTTCTCTTAGGGAAAAGGTTCTTGGGGACTGGGGTGCATTTAAGTACCTCCTGTGTGCACAATGTGGCCAGGTGGCTCACAACTGTAATGCCAGCACTTTGGGAGGCCGAAGTGGGTGGATCACCTGAGTTCAGGAGTTTGACCCCAGCCCGGCCAATATAGTGAAACCAGTCTCTACTAAAAATACAAAGATTGCCAAACACCTGCAATCCCAGCTGCTTGGGAGGTTGAGGCATGAGAATAACTTGAACCCAGGGGGCAAAGGTTGCACTGAATCAAGATTGCACCATTGCACTCCAGCCTGGGCAACAAAAGTGAAACTCTCTCAAAAAAATTGTCAAAGAAATGTCCACGGACAGACTTGTCCCATAGCCAAAACTTGATCCTGCCCAACTTTGTACTTTCTGCTAACCTGCCCAGCATGTCACTCACTGTCCTGCTATAGATTGCAATCTACAGCACACACCCTCTCTCCAGATTCTAGGCTGGTCTAGTGGGGGATAAATGCCCATCCCTGGCCAACACCAATACCTCATGGCAGACCTGTTTTTGCTAGGGCTTTCCAAGGTTTGACAGTCACTGGTTGGGGAGACTTTCATCTAGAACCCAGGAAAGGTTAAATACAGAGTTGATATCACATTTCCAGTTAATCTATAGTAATTAGATTTTATGTTGCTAATGGGGACCTTGTTTTACTGCCCCAAATAAAAAGTCACACACGAGGAATGCGAGCCAAATAATTTATTTCTTCATTTCTTGCATTTGAAGTACTCTTCGATGACATCCTTGGCCTGAGACTCCTTGCCATAGTCCTAAAAAAAAAAAATTGTTAACACTTAGGAAATTAAACAAGTTCTTCGTTTGATACTCTTGCAGAAATGTTTCCCATCACTGTAATTTGTTATAGCCATTTTCAGGGACCTTAACGACTTCAATGTCCTTAAGGCTCGTAACATGGCTTTACTATTGCCAGTTTTTAAAGTATGCCTGCACAAACACAATCAGGTAGGCAGATTCATTGGCTGGCTTTATTACAGCTTCTATTTCTTCATGAAATGCAGAAGATGCTTTAAAACTGATCAGACCAAATACTAAGTTATACATGGTTAACCAGCATAACCTTAAATAGTGACTTACCTTAACTACTACACAACTGCAACCAACCACTTTACGGGGCTTCCCCTCTCTGTCAATTTTACAGAGGCCTACCCATTCCCCTAGTTTCTTGTTGTCATCAACCTATTGGGAGAAAGTTAAACAAAACAAAACATCACATTAGCAAACATTAACACTACCAAAAATAAATTAAACCCAAAAGGTGGCTGTAGTCAGAAGGGTGACATGGCAGTCTCCTCACCACAGTTCAGTAGAGGGAGCCAGTTGTCATCATGTACAGCAAGCACAAAAATCACCTATAAGCCTGCTACTACTAATCTTTGTTGTATTCCAAGGTTAAAATTAGCATTCAATTCTGCAGGCATAAAATGTCTCTACCTATAAAATGCTTCTACCTACAATGACCTTTAAAATGGCCAGTATCAGGTCCATGTAATGTTTACACCTGCACAAACAGCTTAAGACCTCACAATATTTACCCTGGTATACAAGCAACACTGTGATCACATTTGTCCCAACACAATCCTTAGCAGCCTTACCTTAATTAGGTTGATCTGGTGTTCAGCACAAAGGGCCTCCACCAACTTGACATACATAGGCTCATCACAGTTGGATGCAAGCACACAAAGATGGGCTTGGCGCCTGAAATTCAAATTACAATGAAAATGAAACTAGAATTCAAATTACAATTAAAATGTAACTCAGATCTAACTCCATCACTCTTGCATTTTTAGGAGGGTTATCTTTACTAACACTGGCAAAACATAAGCCACAAATCATAAATGTGTACAAAACTGTTTAGGTCTGATGAATCTGCTACAGAGCATATACACATTCACTTAACCTACGTAACTGGTTTTCAGTAAAACTCCTTTCCCTGACACAGTGAATCTGTATATGTCATTTATAAATCTTGTGGCCAAAACCCAACCGTGGTAACTTTCTTGTAAGCCAGCTTCATCTACAAAAACATGTGAAAGGGTGGGCATGATGGCTCACACCTCTAATTCCAGCACTTTGGGAGGCTGGGACAGACAGATCACCTAAGGTTAAGACACCAGCCCAACATTCTGAAACCAAGTCTCTACTAAAAATACAAGTATTAGCCGGGCGTAGTGGCAGGGGCCTATGATCCCAGCTATTCAGAAGGCTGAGGCAAGAGAACTCCTTGAACCTGGGAGGCAGAGGTTGCAGTGGGCTAAGATGGCACCACTGGACTCCAGCCTGGGCGAGACTCCATCTCCACACACACACAAAAAAGTGAAATAAACTTCCAGATGATAAGAGTTGTGACATTAGGCCAGGCACGATGGCTCATGCCTGCACCCCAGCACTGTGGGAGGCCAAAGGAGCAGATCACCTGAAGCCAGGAGTTTGAGAGCAGCCTGGCCAACCAACAGTGAAACCTCATTTCTACTCAAAGTAGAAAAACTAGCCGGCCTGGTGGCCTGTGCCTCTAATTCCAGCTACTTGCGAGGCTGAAGCAGGATAACTGCTTGGACCTGATAGGCAGGGCGACTGAGCTGACCATCTCAAAAAAAAAAATAATAATAAAGAAAAAGAAAAAAAAGGGGGGGTGAAAGGTGTGACATTAATTAACAACTATTCATTAAATGCCATTTAACATTGCCAAGGTACAAATATTACAAAGGATTCATACTAGGATCTAATGAATACATCAAACGAATGCAGTTTCTCTTGGATTGAACTAGCCAGATTACAACAAAACGAACTTAACTTGTCCTGTAAACCCTTAAAACTGCATTTAAATTCAGCTCAAGAGTAGGCTGCTTCATCAATGCAATCACCCTAAAAAACACATAACTCGAACCATCCAAATACATTAACATCCCAGATTCAAATAAATCTCCAATTATGCTACTAAATTCATCTAAAACCAAATGTTTTTGAAACCTGAGCTTGACGTTCCATTAACTTAATGCTTGTTTTACAAACTACCAAATGTAACGTGTCTCTTCATCTAATCTATCAGCCAGGTAAGTATAAAACTGATTAGCCCCACAACCTACAGGTTTGTCAGACTCTGATTTTCACTCATAAAAGGAGTGAAGGGGTATCCGACAACTTAAGTCATCATTCAAACACTGTAGTTTTGAGTGCTGATTCCCATTCCAAACAGCAACCCACACATTTGAAGTGGGCTTTATAGATCTGAGTTCTGATACCTTTTCCTAGGTTTCCTGTAGGTCGGATGCCATTCAGAACTTTTGCGCTAACACCATGAACTCCATGCCTTCTTCCCTTGGGTGGCACTTTTGTTCCGGTTGCAAGAACCCACAGTATGAGATTGATACACGTACTTGTCTAAGGCTTTGGCAGCTTCGCGAATTCCACGTGCTAGGCCATCGTGGATGAGGGCGGTCTTCAGCACCTCTTGTAAAGCAGTATTAACGTCCATTACACCTCCAGCAGCAATGCTGAAACGCGACACATCAGAAACACAGTTAAAGGCTCACACCGCGTAAGGCCTTGGACTCAACAAACACCTAAGTACAACACACGCGTTTACGGCGACCCGCCTGACCCAGCCCTGCTCCGCCAGCTCTCGGCCCACGCCTCAGCCGCATCCCGACCCCAACTTCAACCCCAGCCCCTGGGCTCACCCTTCCTCGGCCATGGCGGTGGGTTACGGGTGAAGCGGAATCTTGAACGCACTGAAATATAAAACCATTGACTTACTAGAGAACCAGATATTCGTCAACTATCCCAGTAGGAACACATCAGGACACGAATCACAACCAACACAACCTCTGCTGCCGCTCTCAACTTACCCCAAGCCTCCGCCTCCGCACGACTCGGCGGCGGCAGGGAAAGAGGCCCCGCGCGCCCGCATGACGGTATTTAAGGGCCTTTTCAGGACCCCTGTGCGCATGTGCATTCCCACCCTCGAAAGAGGTGGCTCCGGCGGTGCCTGGCCTGGGAAGTGTCTGTTTCCGGATTGCGGAGGTTCTGAGGCAAGAGTACTGCGAGTTTTCTATCTCTGTATAGGGCCTGTCCTTGGCGAGCACAACAGGCACTACGCGGGCAGCTTCGCATTGTCCTCCTCTACGGGGGAGAAACCCATCGAGGCCCAGGAAATTCATTCTACGGAGCGCGACAGGAGCCAAACAGGTGTGTCCGCGTGGTTTTTTTTTTTTTTAAGTCACCTATAGCTTTGTATCCCGCTTAGCGCTGGTTTTAACCCTTTCCACACCACGTTTTACTTTTCCTGTTGTTTCTACAAGACTTAGCCTTCCCGAGCAGCTCACTTTTTTCCTTCGCTTCTAAGTCACTTTGTGTCGTTGTGGGGGTGATCCTCTACATGAAACGAGAGCCAACACGCTTTCACTGTTTCTAGCAGACTGGAGTGCAATGGCGCGGTCTCGGCTCACTGCAACCTCGGGATCGCGGTTTCAGGCGATTCTCCTGCCTCAGCCTCCCGAATAGCTGGGATTATAGGCGCCCGCCCACCACGCCCGGCTAATTTTTTGTATTTTTAGTAAAGATGGGGGTTTCACCATATTGGCCAGGTTGGTCTCGAACTCCTGACTTCAGGTGATCTGCCCGCCTCGGCCACCCAAAGTGCTGGGATTACAGGTGTAGGCCACCGTCCCGGCTGCTTTCACTATTTCTAGGCACTTTCCCCCAGGTGTGTTAGTAAAGAAGACCCTGCAGCCAGGGAGTCAATTCTAGTTTCTAAATATAGTCGGAGTCGCTTGTGAACGAAGTTTGTTCACCTGTCTTTGGTTTTTAACGCTGAATTGTGCTCGGAATACACAGTCCCGCGCAAATCAGGATTCCTTAGGTGCATTTTCAACACCTACAATGTGCCTGACGCACGGCCAGAGCCTGTGGCTATACACATGAAATACTCAGTCTATGAGGAATCCAGCATTATTCCATCCCGGACTTGGGGGAGTTAGCAATGTAATCCTAAGAATCGCCAAACTCCAATTTTCTTCCAGAAAGCAACATTTTAAATTTGGAAGTGATTGGCCGTCCCCCAATCCCCACTTCCAAAGCAAACGAACGAAACATTGCTGAATATGATCAATACTGCCGTTTGTTTTAATTTCCTCTCCTAAATAGCTGCCAATCCAGTGAGTATTTATTAGGCGCTTGGCACGAGCCAACGATGTGAATCCAGTTAGCAGCTATTTATTGCTAAGACGCTTGAGTGCAAAAAACAAAGATGGGTAACGCTCTAAGAACGCCAGGGGGTTCACCAGAACCGAGACCTGCTGGAATGTTAATAAACTGTTAAGAGTTCCGTTTTACATTTTCCTCTGCTTTCAGTTTCATTTTTAAAGCGTTGAAGCTGCTTCTCTGTCAGTAACCCGTGCAAATGTTTATTGAGCTTTTGATTAAAAAACAACAACAGGCCGGGCGCGGTAGCTCACGCCTATAATCCCAGCACTTTGGGAGGCCAAGGCCGGTGGATCACAAGGTCAAGAGATCGAGACCATCCTGGTCAACATGGTGAAACCCCGTCTCTACTAAAAATACAAAAATTAGCTGGGCATGATGGTGCGCGCATGTAATCCTAGCTACTCGGGAGGCTGAGGCAGGAGAATTGCTTGAACCCAGGAGGCGGAGGTTGCGGTGAGCCGAGATCGCGCCATTGCATTCCAGCCTGGATAACAAGAGCGAAACTCCGTCTCAAAAAAAAAAAAAAACAGCGGGTTTATAAAAATGAGGAATCATTTCTGCTGCCCTGCTTTTTTGTGGTGGGATTAAGATTTGAGACCAAAATTAGAATACCTGAAAGCCACAGGGAAGATGCAAAATGGCAGGGGGTTAGGGAGTGGAAATGGCGTGGAAAGGTAAGAGGACCTCAGGCTTCTGGCAGCATTTGAAACAGGCTGAAAACAAAAACTAGGCCTGTCCTAGCACTTTGGGATATTGAGGTGGGCGGGGCACCTGAGGTCAGCAGTTCGAGACCAGCCTGGACAACATGGTGAAATCCCACCCATCTCTACTAAAAATACAAATACTAGCCAGGCGTGATTGGTGGGCATCTGTAATCCCAGCTACTCGGGAGGCTGAGGCAGAGAACTGCTTGAACTGGGAGGCGGTGGTTACAGTGAGCCGAGCTTGCACCACTGCACTCCAGCCTGGGTGACAGAGCAAGACTCCATCTCAAAAAAAAAAAGAAAAAGAAAAAATTATTCAGGCATAGTGGTGCGCACCTGTAATCCCAGCTACTGTGGAAGCTGAGGCAGAAGAATGGCTTGAACCCAGGAGATGGAGGTTTCAGTGAGCCAAGATCTACCACTGCGCTCCAGCCTTGGAGACAGAGCAAGACCCTGTCTCCAAAAAACAAAACAAAACATAACAAACCCACTAAAGGATTCCAAATCAGTGAGCATGGAAGGAGAGGATGGGGTATTCTAAATAGATGAAAGTGTAAGGGCAAAAGCATGAAGGCCTTCTTGCCTTTTTTGGAGGTTATAATTAACACACTTGTATTTTCGAAAGAGAATGTGGCAAATAGTGTTTCAGCACATTTCTCGTTATCTAAAGATAGTAAAGTTAAAACGCTAAGCATATTTGATTTCTTCCCCCCAAAAAAAGTTTTTAAGGAAGAAGCAGGGAATTTGGGAAACCTAAGTGAAAATAATCACTGCCAAACAGAATATTTATGTTGGTGGGAAATGATCAAGCGCCTTGTTAGCTAAGGCAGTTGTTCCCAGTACCAACCAATTCAGACTTGGTTTCTTTGAGCAGCTGCTAATCTGTTGTATTGACTCAGACGTTGTGGATCTGCGCTTTAATATTTCACCACACTAAATGTCTTTTCTATCAGTCACAAACCTCCCACCTTAGAGCTGGAGCTACATTTTTTTAAAGTCCTAGTTATATAATCAGTTCTAACCCCAGAATGAAGCCAAAGGGCACACAGGTGATACAGGAGTTTTTGTTTTGTTTTTCAAAGGGGTTCTTTAATATAGATTCTCCTAGTTCACTTTTTTTTTTTTTCTGAGATAGAGTTTCGCTGTTGTTGCCCAGACTACAGTGCAATGGCATGATCTCTGCTCACTGCAACCTCCACCTCCTGGGTTAAAGTGGTTCTCCTGCCCCAGCCTCCCAAGTAGTAGGGATTACAGGCACTTGGCACCATGCCTGGCTAATTTTGTATTTTTAGTAGAGATGAGTTACTCCATGTTGGTCAGGCTGGTCTAGAACTTCCAACCTCAGGTAAGCTGCCCGCCTTTCGCTCCCAAAGTGCTAGAATTAAAGGTGTGAGCCACTGAAGCTGGCTCTCCTAGTTCAGTTTTTAAGGTTACCTCCTCTCAATATCAGAAACTGGTAAAGGTGGAAGACAAGACTACATAGAGGTTACTGGCTAGTCACTCTTATACCAGCAGAGTATAACACATCATGTGCACAAATATGAGTCTGACATACATACGAAAAATAAATGTATTTAAAGTTTGTATTAGGAACAATACTGATGATAGCAGGTAATTTGTTTCACTTTTTCTTTTTTTTGAGACAGAGTTTCGCTCTTGTTACCCGGGCTGGAGTGCAATGGCGTCATCTCGGCTCACTGCAACCTCTGCCTCCTGAGTTCAGGCAATCTCCTGCCTCAGCCTCCTGAGTAGCTGGGATTACAGGCACACACCACCATGCCCAGCTAATTTTTTTGTTTTTAGTAGAGACGGGGTTTCACCATGTTGACCAGGATGGTCTCGATCTCGTCATCTTGTGATCCACCCGCCTCGGCCTCCCAAAGTGCTGGGATTACAGGCTTGAGCCACCGCGCCCGGCCATGTTTCACTTTTTCTATATGCCAGGTAAGGTGCTAAATTCTTTTCAGGTATTTTTTTCCCCTTTATTGTTATAGAGACCCTATCTGGTTGTGACGCTATCAGCCCTCTTTAATGGGTCAGGAAACCAAGGCTGAGGTGGTTGCCAAGATCACACAGCTAATAAATGTGGAAGCTGATATTTAAGCTCAGTGGACTTCAAAGCCTGTGCTCCTAAACCTTTAGTCATTTGAATGATTGTCAGAATGTGGAAAGGAGGTCACTGAGAATTCAAGAACAACTCTTTACATCTCTGGTTTGGCAAAAATACAACTGGTTCTATCCCACTGTGCTAAAAGCTATACAGATGGAAAAAGGGAATATTGGTGTTAGATTGTTGCATTTGGATTTGGATTTAGAAATTTGGATTTCTGAATTATCTAAGTGTAGATGTATCTAAGTGTAGATTTATCTAAGTGTAGTTTGCTAGGGCTGCCATAACGAAGTACCACAAACTGGGTGATTTACCCAACAGAAATCTATTATCTCATAGTGCTGAAGGCTGGAAGTCTGAAGTCAAGGTGTTGGCAGGGTTGTTTCCTTCTGAGGGTGTGAGGAAGAATCTATTTCAAGCCTCTTTCCTAGCTTCTGGAGGTTTGTGGGCAATCTTGGTGTTTTGTGACTTGGGTTCGCATAACTCCAATCTTTGCATGATATTCTCCCTGTGTGCATGTCTGATTTTGTGTTTAAATTTTCCTTTTGCTAAGGATATCAGCCATATTGGATGAGGGACCCACCTGCTCCAGCATGACCTCAACTTAACTAATTACATCTACAATAAACCTATTCCAAATAAGGTCTTGTTCTGGGGTGGAAGGGTTAGGATTTTAACGTATGAATTTTGAGGGAACCCACAGTTCAACTCATGATGGATGACAAAGAAGGAGGAGATATAGAATGATCAAGTGAAAGAAAGCATCTATGAGATGAACTGGAAAAAACGCTTGGAAGACCAGAGCTGGAGAGAAAAACCGGGCTGAGGCATAATAATGATTTCCTATCTTGGAGTGGTCAGGAGGACCCTGTGGTGCAGGGTTCAAATTCCAGCTTACTGTGTGACCTTTTGATCTATGGGGTCAAAAAAATACCAATAAAAATTCCACCATGTTATTTGGAGAAAATGATATTTCTGTAGAAATTCAAAGTAACTAAAATATTCAAACCATTCTTGAAAAAGAAGAATAAAGTTGGGAATTTTTTTACTGCCAACTTCAAACACATCGGGTCTTGATATGCAATGGAAGCAAGTGAGTGGAAGAAGCTAGCACCACCTAAAATCTCTTCTGGTGAGAGTGGTAGCATTCTTGAAGAGTGGGGCTGATGTTCTAACTACGGTGCCTTACACCTGGCTCCAATGGTATCAGCAGCACATACTGCAAAGTTATGTCCAGCTGGGGTCAGTGCCATGCATACAGGACCATTTAGGTGGTGTGAGTTTGGGCGCTTAATCTCTAAGTGGTAGGCATGATCCTCCTGATGATACTATGTGTTACCTAATAAGCAATGATCAATTCATTTTCTGCTTAAATTAGCCAATGTTTCTTTCTTTTAAATTAGCAACAGGGACCCCTGACTGATAGAAATGCTAGGAAGAAAAATAGAAAGGTGAAAGGGCAAAAGATGACCGGGGCTGTATTTGGATAAGGGGATAAGAATGAATTTCTTGGCCAGGTGTGGTGGCTCACAGCAGTAATCTCTGCACTTTGGGGGACCAGGACAGGTGGATTGCTTGAGTATAGGAGTTTGAGACCAGCCCAGGCAACATGGTGAAGCCTGGTCACTATTATTAAATAAATAAATAATAATAAAGAATGAATTTCTCTGAGGAGGTGGCATTTACACAAAGACCGTATTACTCCATTTTAGTTTGTAAAGAAAAAACATTCCATATGTGTATATATGTCTAAATTAACATATAAAACTGTGATCAGATAATTCTGGTAGGCTGCTAATGGCTTCCAAAGATCTGTCCACATCCTAATCCCTGAAGCCTGTAAATGTTACCGTATATGAACAAAAGGGCCTGTGCAAATGTGGCTAAATTGGAGAACTTGAGATGAGGAGATCATTCTGGATTATTCAGGCTGGCCCTAAAGTCATTCAAAATATCCTTATGAGAGTGGCACACGAAGATTACACATAGAAGAGAAGAGGCACAGTGACACCAGAGGCAGAGATCAGAGGGATGTGGCATAAAATGCCAGTAGTCACTAGAAGCTTCAAGAGGCAAGACATAGACTCTTCCCTAGAGCCTCTAAGGGGACATGATCCAGCTGACACCTTGATTTTGGCTCAGCGACACTGATGTTGAACTTCTGACTTCCAGGACCTTGTTTTAAGCTACCAAGTCTGTGGTGATTTGTACAGCAGCCCCAGAAAACTAACACAATAATATATTTGATTATAAAACTGATCATCTGAAGGGAGAAAGAGGCACAGAGATTAGAAGAAAGGGGAGGATAGGGATATGAATAGGCTTTATGTAAATTAAAAATAGATGGACACACAAAACAGATTTTTTTTGAGAACATAAAGAAAATGATTTGCATTAAACATGCAAGAATGATTGCAAATGGGGAAAGGAATGAGAATGGAGATACAAGGAAATCGATGCAACAGAAATGAAAAATTCAGTTGGCAAAAATTCAGATGGCAAGATACAGGTAGGGATACTTCCTGTAAGATAGAGGAAAAAAAAGAAAAAATAATAACTAGGTAGGAGTGGCAGCACATGCCTGTAGGCTCACCTACTCAGGAGGCTGAGGTGGGAGGCTCACTTGAGCCCAGGAGGTTGAGGTGGCAGTGAGTCATGATAATGCCATGGTAGCTTGGGCAACAGCGTGAGACCCAAAATAAAAAAAAAGAGAGAGAAGAAAAAGAGAAATAAGAAAAAAGGGCCAGTTTGGGTGACCCAACATCTACAGTCCAGAAATAAAGCAAAAGAGGAAATGAATCATCAAAGAAATCATTCAAGAAAATTTCCCTCTACAGATTGATGTTAGATTTAAGAGAAAGCATAGAATTAAATGAGACTGGAGAAGCTGTCAGGGGTGAGATCATAAATGTTTCATAAGGCTACTTTAGGAAACTTTTGCTAGAGTGGAACTTTGTGTTTAGAGTGGTTCTAAAGGTTCTCCTTACAACTGGCTCACTGGGGAATTTTTGCATAAACTTCAAGAACCAAGGTAACATCGCTTCCTTGGGAAGTCATCCAGGACCCATTTGCCAAAGTAAGTGGTTCTTCCAATATGTTTGTATACAACCGATTGCATTATAGATTATTAATTAGTGTGAATTTTATCTGCTAGAAAGAGTGCTACTTGAGGGCAGAGTCTGGATGGGGCTCATTCATCTCTAATTTCATAATGCCTGGCACAAAGGTGGTAACTCATTCTTTTGTTTTGCTTTTTGTGATGCGTTGGCTTCAGATCAAGAATTTACCAGTCCTTAAACTTTATTTATTTGAGATGGGGTTTCCGCTCTTTTGCCAGGCTGGAGTGAAGTGGCACAATTACAAACTTACTATCAGCCATCCCATATATTGGAACGGACCTTGTACAGTGGATCTGAGGCAGATTCTCAGTCGATAAAGCCACACTCACACGATTCTTCAGGATCTTGGCTCACTGCAACCTCTGCCTCCAAGGTTCAAGCAATTCTCCTCCCTCAGCCTCCCACGTAGCTGGGACTACAGGCGTGTGTCACCACTCCCGGCTAATTTTTTTGTATATTTAGTAGAGACAGGGTTTACCATGTTGGCCAGGCTGATCTCAACCTCCTGATCTCAGGTGATCTGCCCACCTTGACCTCTCAAAGTGCTGAAATTACAGATGTGAGCCACCGTGCCCAGGCAGTCTTCAAGATTTAACACTTCCCAAATAGTAAATAAGGTGAAAATAAGTGAAACCTATTTTTTTTCTGCAAGAAAACCGTGAGCGTCAGGGTAAGGTAGCAGCCATCATGTTCATGTCCTAGGTACTAACACCTTATCGCCAATGCTCACAGCCGCCCAACAAAGTAAACGTTATAATCCCAGTTGTACAGATGGAGAAACTGACCTTGTCATGCGAAGTTACACACAGCCAGTAAAATACCCTGACTTGGAACCCTGGCACCTGCCTCCAGAGGTCGCACTCCTAGCTACTTCACCATGCTTTCTCAATATTCACTAGTATTCTTGCAAATATTTTTCAACCACAGCTGCTTCACATCGGTTAATTCATTTTCAGTTCACTAGTGTCTGGTTTCAATAATTACGAACTCTACCGCATTTACCCACTGTGAAAAATAATTCACTCTTCCAAAGGTCCTGTGTAAACCTAATTTTCAGCTGGATGCCTTGGCTCCCGCCTGTAATCCCAGCACTTTGGGAGACCGAGGCAGGTGGATCACAAGGTCAGGAGTTCGAGACTCAGCCTGGCAAATATGGTGAAACCCCGTCTCTACTAAAACTGCAAAAATTAGTTGGGTGGTGGCGGGCGCCTGCAGTACCAGCTACTTGAGATGCTGAGGCAGGAGAATCGCTTGAACCCGGGAGGCGGATGTTGCAGTGAACCGAGACTGGGCCACTGCACTCCAGCCTGGCGCACAACAGGGAGACTCCATCTCAAATTAATAAATAAAAATAAACCTAATTTTCTAATTTGCTTTTGTGTCTTTCAGTTGAGGTACTCCCTACCTTTTCTGTGTCTAAAGAGCTTCCTTTCTTTAAATAGGAATAAATTGAACTAATTTTCAGATAGAGGGGAGTCCAACTGTATGGAATATAGACTTATCTTTTTTCACTCTCTCACATACAGAATTAAAAAGGACAGCATGTTACCGCAGCTGAGGTGGTGGATTAAGATAATGGGGCGGAGGGAGCTTTGCTCCACCCCCGCCCCGCCCCCGGCCTGCCCCCCGAGGACTCAGAGTCCTGGAAGGTTTTGCAGAGCTCCGGGCAGAGCTCCTGGCAGGGCGAATCGCTCGCTACCCACAGGGAGTCGGGAATGCCAGAGCCCAGCTGAGCAGCGCTACCCACCGGAGTGCCAGTCGATCGTTGGAGATCGAATCCAAGGACGTGACTTGAACCCGGGAGCTGGGGCACCGGAGTCCACCTACCGGGCATGGACGAGCCGGCTGACCTCGAGGGCCCACGCGAACCAGGAGGTGACCATGAATTGCGTGGCCGGTAACTGGGAGCACGGCGGCGGCTTCGGGCCTGTCTCTTTAGTTAGGAACGATTGAATTGCCTTTAGTTTGATTCTTTTCTGAGAGATCGGAAAAGTCTGGGGCCTGAGCATGGCCAGCGTTTACTTTTCTCTCTGAACGGGGTGAAGTTCCAGGACTGGATATGTGTCGTGATTTCTAATGATTTTCTAACCTATACCTCTGCTTTTAAGTACTGTGTGTTTAATGCATTCAGTAAGTATGCCATTAGGCAAATGTAAAACGTTACCTTTCAAGTACCCACTGTTGTTTCCCTTCTTTTTTAACTTTCTCTCATTTCCCTTTCTCATCTAGTACAAACATTGTACAAATAATCTTAAGACTTCCTCATGTTGCACAGATTTTTGTTGTTGTTCTTTTCTGGGCTGCAATGGCAACCTCTGAAAAATAGAGCAAACCAAATATATTTTTCTTCTTCTTTTTTTTTTTTTTTTTTTACAGTCCAGAGGTCTTTTATTTTATTTTATTTTTTTAACACCTATTATGCCATGAATTCATAGGGAATAGGTTCCAGCAGCTCAGGCTCCTTCCCATTGGTTCTTACAAAGTGTGCTTCTCTGGGTGGAGCAGGCTGTCGCTTCATTTGGACCCACGTACCTTTCTCTTTGGCTTCTTTCTTTTTCTGATCATTTTCCTTCACATGTTTTAGAAAGCTGTCTCGCCTCTTAGAGTGCTTGATGTGCTCAATATGCACATTAATTCTCTTGGCAAGAATCTTGCCCTTAACTTGTTTGTTTACAACAATGCCAACAGCATGCTGGGTAACATTGTAGACTCTTCCAGTTTTGCCATGATAATATTTGTGGGGCATTCCTTTTTGAACAGTACCCGTTCCCCTGATGTCTACAATATCACCTTTCTTATAGATTCACATATACCTGGCCAAAGGAACAACTCCATGTTTTCTAAAAGGCCTAGAGAACATGTATCGAGTGCCTCTCCTTTTTCCCTTTGTGTTCGTCATTTTGGCGAATTACTGGAAGATGGCCGTTCCGGCCAAAAGGCATGTTTTTCTTAAGTTTTTCCTTAAAACAATTTAATTTATAAATGGCTGATGGATTTGCTTGGATATTTGAAACTCTGAGTAATTAACTTCTTGTCTTTAAATGGCAATTTAGCCCGGGAAATAAGTGTTAAATTAACTGATGCAAAAGACTGGTAATTAATGTAAAAAAAATATTGATTTATGAATTTGTGGGACTTGTTTATCCAGAAGCATACCATTGTAAGTATTAATTCACCAGCTGAATGATTTAGCTTGTTTTCTCCTACTTATACTTCATTTGACTTCAATACTGCCTTAGAAATCTTATTAAGTTATCATTACATGCTTGAAACATTGAGTTTCATGTAGCATTTGATGCTAGTAAGTTGAGAAAATAGGATGCCACCTCATCCTTTTTGAAGGGTTACTAAAGACCAGAGAAGCAGACTTAAAGGTGAAGGCAAAAGATCAGATGGTTTGATGATTTCTGCATTGAAATTCTAACAGAGAAGGGTATGTAAATGAAAGCAGTATGTTTTCAAAACTGTAGTAACGTACAAGGTTATGTTCCATTTGATCAAATGTGCTATATTCATAATAGCCCTAAGTTCAGTAAACGATATCTTCAGAGTGCAACATATGTGCACAGAAATCACATTTGTGTACTTTGATCAGCACTGTCAATTATATGGCTAACTGCAGCATGTTTGCATTCAAGGTGATGACCCTGCAGGAAGTGCAGGAGACACTCCCAGGCGGCTTTCCAGAGAACAGGTTTTTGTACTGATATCGGCAGCTTCGGTGAACTTAAGTTCCATGATGTGCGATTCTATACTTGGACCCTTTTTCCCCAAGGAGGTAAGACACTTTCAAATCTTTAGGAGCTCTATTTTTTTATTAAAGCCTTTTAAATTATTTCATTTTATAGTATGTAAAATGTAAAATCTGCATATAGCACAGATGATGTATACAACTCCAGCCACTAGAATACTTTTTATAGAGTGCTTGATACCCGGAAAAAAAATCTAGTCAGAAAGAAAATCTTCTTGGGAGGTAATTCACCTAAAAGTAGTTGATCTTCTGAGAATTTCATGCTTATCATGCAGTCTGATTAATCTTTATTTGGTTTCTGCAACTGAAAAAAGGAGTGCACTGAATAACTGAGATTCAAATGTTACTGTAATAAGTCTATGAAAAGACACAAACTATTTCTGGGAGGTTTTATCCACATTTAGAATTAGGAAGTTTTGATTCCCCAGATCCTCCACCCCCTCTTTTTTTTTTTTTTTTGTTTTGAGACAGGGTTTCACTCTTGTTGCCCAGGCTGGAGTGCAATGGTGTGGTCTGCCTCCCTGATTCAAGTGAATCTCCTGCCTTAGCCTCCCAAGTAGCTGGCATTACAGGCACGCACCACCACGCCAGGGTAATTTTTGTATTTTTAGTAGAGCCGGGGTTTTGTCATGTTGGCCAGGCTAGCCTCGAACTTCTGACCTCAGGTGATCTGCCCACCTTAGTCTCCCAAAGTGCTGGGATTACAGGCATGAGCCACCACGCCTAACCCCACAATACCGCCTCTTTTGACTTGAATTTCTTAAGGACTGTAGCAGCAATGTTTATGCAAGGGAGGAATTCTGATTAATACGGGCTGTTCCTTCTAGTCCTAGCCTTTTTTATGGTGTTAGGGTTTATAGGTAATGACACATTCAAAGAGAATAATCCCTAGTGAGTCCAACTGGATTCCAGATGTCAATAGGATATAGTATGGAATGAATGTGACTGGTTTGGAGTGGAGACAACATGTCCATATGTTTTATTTTGTGCTTTTTGCCAAATCCTAGGCTCACAGTGCAGTGGCAGCTTCTTAGTCCCCAAACTGGAGTTAAAACACGTAGTCCTCCATTCCGTGTGCTACAGAAGAAGATAACGTGGCTTCTCTGCTAAAGGAACAATATTGCCATGTACCCATACAGTGCTCTCTGGCTTTTAGTACACATTCCCCCCATTTACCCATTTGATCACTGCGACAACCTCATACAGTAGGTAGAATTGTGAGAATCTCAGCCTGTTGCAAATGAGGAAACAGACTCAGAAGCTGTGACTTGCCCAATTCAGTTCTGTTAACTAGAGGTTTAATGAGTTCCTACTCTAGAGCAGGCTAAGCGTGGGATGTATTAAAGTAGAATTCAAAAATCAGGGAAATGGCTCTACCTTATTTGCCCATTGGGAGTGAAAAAATATGGGGAAAAATGTTTCCAATGATTTGGATATCCTTTAAGAAAAGGATGTCCAGAATGTTACATGACTTTTTTTTTTTTCAATTATCATTTTCTTCTGGCTTCCTTCTATCCATACTAATGTTACGAGATCCTAAAAGGAAGAATGGTTAATTCTGCAGATAGGAGAAGAAAGAGTGATATTTTCAGGATAAATCCAAGGTGGGACTTTTTTTTTGTTTTGAGACAGGGTTTCACAGTCACCAAGGCTGGAAGTACAGTGGCATGATCAGGGTTAACTGCTGCCTCAACCCCGCAGGCTTAAGAGATCCTTTCACCTCAGCCCCCTGAGGAGCTGGGGCACAGGCACGTGCCACCAAACCTAGCTCTTTTTTTCTATCTTTAGTAGAGATGGAGTTTCACCATGTTGCCCAGGCTGACCTTGAACTACTGAGCTCAGGTGATCCGTCTACCTCGGCCTCTCAAAGTGCTGAGATTACAGGCATGAGCCACTGGACCTGGCCTATGGTGGGTCCTAAGAGATGATAATTCTTACGGTGAACAATAGAGGTGGAGGTATTCTAGGTAGAGTCACAGGAAGAGCAGAGTGAATGGCATGTTTCTGGGGAACAGCAGACAGCCTCTTGATGTGGCTTAGGCCTGGGGTGAAATGAGGTCTAATAGGAGACTGTGGATTGGAGGGGGCAGGGCTGAGATAGGAAGGAAGGGCACTTGCATACATACCAAGGACTTAGTGGGCAATCGTCAGAGGTGTTTGAGCAAGACAGACCAGTCTGGCCAGACTTGGGTTTTGTAAATAATAATAATAATAATAATAATAATAATAATAATAATAGGAGCCTGTGGAATTGAGATGGAGAAGAACGGGAGTGGATCAACCAGCGAGAGGGGCATTTCCTAGCTCAGCTGGAACTCAGTGAGCACAACCAATGTTAGTTTCCTCTAAATGAATAGCACAAAGGAAAACCAGGCTGTGGGCGTGTGCTTTTTAAGTTTTTGACTGAGTTTTTTGCTTATAGGAAAGGTTCACTAAAGAAAAAAGTCAAGTTTTTAAAGAATTAAAGTTCCTTTTATTCAAAAGTCTTACTGAGGACTACAGGCTGAGTATTTAAGTTCACAGTTTGTCTTCAGGTAGTGGAGATTCAGTACGTACAAGGTCACATCAAAATTTGGGTATAAGAGTACATGTGGTTATAGATTTCCAATGTACCTTTGGTTATAGTTTGTAAAAGCATAATCACAACCTGTTAGATGCTATCTTATGTGTAGAAAGAGGCAAGGCTGGGGCATTTATCATTTAATGTAATAGCTTAGGCAAGAGATGTGGGGGTCATGTGCTTTATCCTTTTCTGTCTTCAACGCATCCGTCCCAAGAGCTGCATGTTGTCACAGAGTCAGGGGCTTTGGGACATTATGCTGGCAAGCAGAAATGAGCAAAACGTGGCTTCTGACATTTGCTACTACTTTGTCTTGCCTTGCAGAGGGAAGGCCTTTCTTAAATTCTGGTGTGGGATTCGTACTTCTATTCATCATTTTTTCTTGCAAGGCTCATCCTTTATCAGACGACTAGAAATTGCTTTATTTATTTATTTATTGAGACAGAGTCTCGCTCTGACCCAGGCTGGAGTGCAGTGGCATCATCTCAGCTCACTGCAATCTCCGCCTCCTGGGTTCAAGCGATTCTCTCACCTCAGTCTCTCAAATAGCTGGGATTACAGGCACGCATCACCACACCTGGCTAATTTTTTTTGTATTTTTAGTAGAGATGGGGGTTTCACCATACTGGCTGGGCTGGTCTTGAATTCCTAACCTCAGGTGATTCGCCTGCCTTGGCCTCCCAAATTGCTGGGATTACAAGTGTGAGCCACTGCACCTGGCCCAGAAATTGCTTTTAATAGCTGTTTTTGCTTTCTTAATGTGAAGCAGGATCCATGTTTCAAAAATGGCATTCAGCTATGTGGTTCTAGCATATCCTGTGTCAGTGTTTCATTTCCACAGCGAATATGGGAACATGCACATGATGGAAACTGTGGTGGTGCAAAACCCTGTAATCTTTGCAAGTCCCTGTCCTCATCTATAAACGGGACCTGCTAAAAATACATCCCTTATTTAATTGTTGTTAGATGCCATGTAAAACAGCACTTAATAGAGATTCTGGCTCATAATGAGGGTCTAATAAGTATTCATTTCTATGGCCATTACAGGTTTTCTGCTGGATTCTAAATTAAACACTTATCAGAACTACTAAGCAAAGAACATTGATAATATAACTTGACATGAATGCTCTTCTTATGCCTTAATTGACTCCTTTCATAGTCCTTTATCTTTGAGGAACCTGACCTGTGTGTAGTAGAAATGTAGACCTCGTGTTCCAGTCAACATATGGCATAACCATTTGTTATAGTGCCATTAAAGGTATTTTAATGAGATCGCTCTTGTACCCACACCATTATTTCCTGTGGTTATTAGTACAGGAAGGAGAATGGATAGTTATGAAGCCCAAGAATTATGGACTTAAATCTTGCCCAAGCAATTACTGTGGAGCTGTGGGCCCATCGTCCCTGCCCTCACCCACTATCAAGTGCAAAGGGACATTTCTGAGGACTTTCCTAGAGTAAAAGAGAGGCCCTTCCTAAAATGTAGCTTAGAACAATAGAGTTCACTTATCTGCCTTCCTGTGGTATGATGCCATGAGGAATGTAGAGTTTGTTTCAAGAGACCTAGTCTGACATGGAAAAAACGTCCTTGAAAAAGACAAAGATTGAATGACGATAGTATCAATTTTTATCTTAAACTGTAGTTAGAGAGAAAAGGTAAAGAAAGGCAATCATGGTTGTAGGGAAGGGATGTTGAAGAGTGCAAAAGTGTGTGTGCAGGTGTCCATTTCTGTACTGATTTTGAAATTGTTGCGAAAATCTGAAGCTCTTTCAAAAGAATGGATCTAAAGTGGACTTTTCTGATCATAAGTATTCACTGCTGGTACAATGCCTCATATGTACAAGATGGTCAGTATATGACTGATGGCAGTTCAGGATTGCACTTCGTAGTATGCTAAGTTGCCAGTCCTATCTTAAAGACATTAAACTCATATTTTGATTCCTTAAATTCCTATAGCTGGAACCTGATATAAGGATCTGCCATAGTTCCAGGACTTGACAAAGTTTCTTAAACTTTCTATTTTTATACGTGAATATAGTTGTGTATCACAGTGGTAGCATTTGAAATTCAAAAGAAGTAGATTTAGAATAAATAATATTTGTAGCAAATTTTAGGAGCTCACTGATAGAATAGGCTATACACATTAGTAACTGTAACTGATGGATGATAACCTACCTTGGCTGTTTCAGGAGAACGTAGCATGTCAGGGGAGCATCTTTCACCTGTGTTGTTGATGACAGGAAGGAAAACTGTCTTCTCCAAACTGTCAGGTAATTGGTATTACCGTCAGAAACAGAGACCTAGACTGACTGAGCCTCGATCTGACCCATGTGCCAACTCATAGAACTTCCTAAACTTGAGTTTGTAGACTGGCAAGTGTTTTTTGTTTGTTTCCTGTAACTAAATGTGATACCCCAAAGGAAGTGTGTCTGAATCACCTGTTTCCTCAGTCCTGTTACTATGCAATAGAGCCCAGATTTCCTTATCCAAGACTTTTTTTTTTAATTGCATTTAAGGTTCTGGGGTACATATGAAGAGCATGTAAGATTGTTGCATAGGTACACATGTGGCAGTGTGATTTGCCGCCTTCCTCCCCTTCACCTATATCTGGCATTTCTTTTTTGTGTTTGTTTATTTTCTCTGATTCTGACTTTCGCAGCTAAAGCTAACAATTCTCTATAGGATAGGTGAGTGAATTACGTTCATGTCAGAGACTATGGTTTACTATCTAAACTATTAATAGTTTCCCTTCCTTCCCCACCCCATTTATTTGAAAAGAATAAGCTTTTTGAAATTGATATACAGATAAAGTTCGCAAGAAGATGAAGCTCTGATCTAATATTGCTGTTTTTTCATATGAATGCTCATTTTTCTTTCAAACTCTGTTTCCGTTTCTGTTCTTTAAAGGCTGAGAAAAAGGGAGCCAGCGATACGATTATCGGGATGATCTTTGGATGTTTTGCTTTGTTCGAGTTGCTGGCGTCTTTGGTATTTGGAAACTATGTAAGCATGAAGTTCATATGTACTTCTTAGTTTTTAAAAATCGCATGGTGGATTATTTTCATTTAGTAGTCTAGAATTTGCATTGATACAGAATAGCCATCTTTGTAGTTTTATAAATTATACCACTGTGAATAGTTCCTTCCTCAGAATTGATTGATTTTTAACTCTTTCCGTGTTTGTAAGCAATATGTACTGTCACTCTGTTAAAGAATTATTATAACGTATTAACTGTACATGTCTTCTCCCATCCTGTATTTTCCAATACAGTGGATTTGTTTATATCAATAGAGACTTGTAGAAGTTATCAATTGACCACTCTGCTTTGACATTTATTATAGCTTGTACAAATTGGAGCAAAATTTATGTTTGTAGCTGGAATGTTTGTCTCAGGAGGAGTTACAATTCTCTTTGGGTGAGTCATTTTCTGATTATATTTGGAAGCCTGAACAGATTTTGTGATCTATCTTCAGTATAAAATGTTAAAGGCTTTTTAAGTCAATGGTTCCATTATTGTTTGTCGAATGTATAACATGTGATAATGATAGGAGTTGAGAGAGTAGAGAACGGGGATAAATGGGATTGATTTTAAGGAAACAGGCCTCTGGAGGATCTCCATGATGCTCGCTACTGAACCTCTTCATTAGGACTCCTGTGATTGTGAGTGACAGAAACTTAACTCACTTTTCTGAGTCACAGAAACTTACTAGCTTCAGTAAAAAACTGAATTTCTCCAACAAAGTCAATTCAAAAAATATCAGAATACAGATTTGAAACAACATCATGAGAAACGTTTCTTCTTGTGATTTGAACGAGCCTTCTCCTTTAGGTGGCAAGATGACCCCTAGCAGCTTCAGTAGAAAGTGCCAGTTTCCTAACAGTTCCTATTAGAGTCACAGAATGAACCCTCACTGGCCTGATCTTTGCTGATGGTGTTAGTGGGTGGGGAAGAATGTTCTGATTGGCCAGACCCGGTCACATGCTCAGTTCAGAGCCTAGCATACAACAGAATGGTTTTCCCCATTGCTACTTCCAGAAAAAGGGAAACTGAATGCCACAGGCGAAACAGATATGAAAGTTCTTAAGCTTAGAGTTCTTAAATCAGCAGCACAGTACCAAATAATATGGAAGAGCTTATATGGGGAACATAGAAGAATAACAGTATAATAAGATTATAATGAAGTAAACGCAAGAAAACTTAAATGAAATGGGGTTAAAAAATTTTTGGAGGAGTCTTTTATTTTCTTTCTTTATTCCTTTTTTTTTTTTTTTTTTTGAAGATTTGAGTCCTACCCCAGGAGAGACCTGAAACTGAGTTCTTTTTCTGTTTAGGTCTTGTCGGAGTGATTCTGCATGGTTTTTTTGTTTGTTTGTTTTTGTTTTGAGATGGAGTCTCGCTCTATTGCCTAGGCTGGAGTGCAATGGCACAATCTCGGCTCACTGCAATCTCTGCCTCCCAGGTTCAAGTGACTCTCCTGCCTCAGCCTCCCAAGTAACTGGGATTACAGGTGCTCGCCACCATGCCCAACTCGTTTTTGTATGTTTTAGTAGAGATGGGATTTTGCCATGTTGGTCAGGCTGGTCTTAAACTCCTGACCTCAGGGGATCCTGGCCTGCCTCAGCCTCCCAAAGTGCTGGAATTACAGGTGTGAGCCACTACATCCAAATGATTCTACATATTCTCAAAAGATCTATTTAGTGCTATCATCTGGTGGACCAGTATATCAGCAGAAAAGGGCAACTAAGCTGTCATTATGACTCAAATTGTTACCAAAAAAAGAAAAAGGGGAATTTCCTCCTACTGAAAAGATAACAAAGCAACTCTTTAAAAAAAAATCATATTGTAAAGTGATTTATTCTCATAACTATGGGTGATATACTACTCTTTTTGGTGAGTACAGTTAAAAAGGAGAACCAGCTTGACGTTTGAGAATTGTCTTATTCCTTTTTAGTGTATTGGACCGAGTTCCAGATGGACCAGTATTTATTGCTATGTGTTTTCTAGTGAGAATAATGGATGCCATTAGCTTTGCTGCAGCAATAACTGCATCTTCCTCTATCCTGGCAAAGGCTTTTCCAAATAATGTGGCTACAGTATTGGTATGTATTTAATAAGTATTTCCTACTTCCCTTTGAATGTAAGACAAATATTGCTTTCCTTTCCAAGTTAAAGCTGAGGTCCATTCTTCTGTACTTGTATTTCTTTACTCCCTGTATTATTGTTGCCTTTCACCCTCAGTTCAACTAGCAGCAAGCCTGTCAATAAATGTACCATTGGTGTTACTTAGGTGTTACTAGTTTTAGAATTCCTGAATGCGCAGTTTGGCTGGTAAGTGTGGTCCAACTCAGTCGTTCTTTTTATCACTTAAAAAAAAAAAAAAACTCAGGCCGGGCAGGTGGCTCAGGCCTCTAATCCCAGCATTTTGGGAGGCCAAAGTGGCTGGATCACCTGAGGTCGGGAGTTTGATACCAGCCTGACCGACATGGAGAAACCCCATCTCCACCAAAAAGACAAAATTAGCAGGGCGTGGTGGCGCATGCCTGTAATCCCAGCTACTTGGGAGGCTGAGGCAGGAGAATCGCTTGAGCCCGAGAGGCGGAGGTTGCAGTGAGCTGAGGTTGCACCATTGCACTCCAGCCTGGATATCAAGAGTGAAACTCCATCTCAAAAGCAAAAACAAAAAATCTCCTTGGTACTGTTTTGCTATCTCCCTGTAGCCTAGATTGTGGCTGAGCTGCCTGAAGAATTCCTCTGCTTTAGAAAAGAGTTATCCCTAGTGGCAAAATAATCAGTTCATACTAGAGTCCTACCTTGATTTGCCCCAGATTAATGCAAGGGATCTTAGAAATCATCTTGAAGTGCTTAAGTGCTTCTGCTCTGTCTATCTGAGGAGGGCTTTTGCATTTTGACATAAACATCCAGATCCCGGTGGCAATCATATTGACATATATTTTTTTTTTGAGACGGAGTTTCGCTCTTGTTACCCAGTACTGGAGTGCAATGGCGCAATCTCATCTCACCACAACCTCCGCCTCCTGGATTCAGGCAATTCTCCTGCCTCAGCCTCCTGAGTAGCTGGGATTACAGGCACTCACCACCGTGCCCAGCTAATTTTTTGTATTTTTAGTAGATACAGGATTTTACCATGTTGACCAGGAAGGTCTCGATCTCTTGACCTCATGATCCACCCGCCTCAGCCTCCCAAAGTGCTGGGATTACAGGCGTGAGCCACTGCGCCCGGCCCCATATTGACATATGTTTTTGTGTACTGCCTAGGTGCTTATAGACCTAGTGTTAATGACATATCAGATTCCCATCCCATCTCTAGGCAGTTGTCTCTCTGACCCCGAGAAGGCTTTCCCATCATAGCACTGTCTGTCTGGGCCCATGCATGTCTGAAAGACTCATATCATACTCTGCACGGCACCCTTATAGCATATAATTGTTCTCTAGACTTCAGAGTCTAATCAACTTAGTACCAAGGACTCCCTGATTTTCTCATTTAATACTGCAGTTTGAAAATTTGCACTGTCAGATAAACCCTTTGCTGTGTAAATAGTTCTTCCTACTTTTTATTAAGCATTTGTGTATATAGCTGGATAGGTTTAAGTTTTATTGCCATTTGGTAGGTATACCACTTACATTTTCAGGCAATATATTTCTCAGAAAGGGGTCAGAACATTAGTCTGTTGATACACTCTGTAAGATAAGGGTTTATGGCTAAGCAGGTTTGGAGAGTGTTGTATGCTGTCCTCTAACTTAGAGATGTCCAGTTCACATTAATATCTTAAGGCCTTGAAAATCCTGGAGTAGGGATACTTTATTTAATGTTCCACTGTGGAACCACATTTTTTTTTCTTTTTTTTCTGCAGAGACAGGGTCTTGCAGACCTGTCTGTTGCCCAAGCTGGTCTTCAACTCCTGGCCTCAAGCAGTCCTCCCACTTTGGCCTCCCAAGGTGGCTGGGATTATAAGTGTGAGCCACCATGCCTGGCTGGAGCTATTTTTTTCAAACAAGACTTTTGATCTTTTAAAGAGCTGGTTTTCTGTGGAACACTCTGGAAAATGATACTGTGATAATCATAACAATCCATTGGGTTTTCTAATCAGCAAGAGACATCCGTGTTGCTAGGCCAAGTTTCTGTATAAAATTGCAGCCAACAGCTAACAAACTAACATGGTAATTGATCTGGATGACCTTATTGTGATTAAAGAATTTCAATGTTCTTTATGAGGTGTTGAAAGTTATGAATGGAACACTTTTGTGTACTCTATGAGGTCTGAGGATATAAGGTTGCAAGCCACAGATCTCTGTTTAAGGTCCCTAAAAACTAGATTGACCTAAAATGTTGGCAATTTCTATAGTGGTAAACTCTTTTTACCATAGCATTGTTTTGTTTAACTTTAAACAAAATAATTGTATATGGTACAAAATTCGAAACTTATGGGAGGCAGGGTAAAATATAGTAAACATATTCTACATGTAACTGTTGCTTAGCCTTTGTATAATACCAGTTGTGTGGGTGCCCAGCCCTCCATCCCCTTAGGGAAGGCAACAGATAATGCAGGTTTCTTCCAGAAAAATTCCACATATATGTATGTACACACACACACACACACACACACATACACACACACACACACACACAGAGAGCATGATTTCCTTTCTTTTCTTGGACAGGAATATTGAGGTATCTCTCTTTTCTCTTTCTTTTTTATTTGAGACAGAGTCTTGCTCTGTCGTCCAGGCTGGAGTGCAGTGGCACAACCTCACCTCCTGGATTCAAGCTATTCTCCTGCCTCAGCGTCCTGAGCAGCTGGGACTACAGGCACGTGCCACCACACTTGGCTAATCTTTTGTATTTTTAGTAGAGATGGGGTTTCACCATATTAGCCAGGTTGCTGTCAATCTCCTGACCTTGTGATCCACCTGCCTCAGCCTCCCAAAGTGCTGCAATTATAGGTGTGAGCCACCGTGCCCGGCCTCCCTCTTTTTTTTTTTCTTTACACAAATGGTAGCATACCATAGGTACCATTCAGCACCTCACTGGTTACACCAACAATGAAATCATCTTGGAGATCTTTCTGTACCTACACATAAGGTGCTTTCTTACTCTTTACTTTTCTTACTGGCTGTATGGCATTTCACTGCTGGATATAACCAATTTACTCACATCCTTGATGAATATTTAGATTATTTTCATCTTTTGCTGTTGCAAAACTGCACTATAGTGCATATGCTTGTATATATACCATGTCATATCTGCATGTCTATACTTGTATGTTAAATTCTTAGAAGTGGAATTCTGGATCATATGGTATATGCATATTGATAGATTTGCCAAATTGCCTACTGATGTTCACTAACCAGCATTGTGTGTTAAGTAGGAGATAGGTGAAAACCGGTATCTTGTGGTTTAAATTTGTTCATTTCTTTTAAGAAGTGAGGACGAACTTCTAAAAGATCTTTGTGTTTCATTTTATGTGTCAACCGTTTATTTGTAGCATTTGCTCATTCTTCTATGGGTTGTTTATCTTTTCCTCATTGTAGCACTCACGATGTATTTGGTGAATTAGTTCTTTGTCATTTTTTTCTCTGTTCTTAATTTATCTTTTGATTTTTTTGTTTGTTTGTTTGTTTGTTTGTTTTTTTGAGATGGAGTTTTACTCTTGTTACCCAGGCTGGGGTGCAAATGGCACGATCTTGGCTCACCGCAACCTCCGCCTCCTGGGTTCAGGCAATTCTCCTGCCTCAGCCTCCTGAGTAGCTGGGATTACAGGCACATGCCACCTCGTCCAGCTAATTTTTTGTATTTTTAGTAGAGACGGGTTTCACCTAGTTGACCAGGATGGTCTCGATCTCTTGACCTCGTGATCCACCCGCCCCAGCCTCCCAAAGTGCTGGGATTACAGGCGTGAGCCAACGCACCTGGCCCATCTTTTGTTATTTTTGTGTGTTATTTTTCATATTTTCATGTAATCAGATTTATCAGTATTTTCTATCTTCTGTGTGTTATGTCATGATTAGAATACCTTCCCTACCACAAGAATTTTTTTAAATTCCTTATTTTATTTTTCTAATATTTTTATAATTTCAGTATGTGCATTTAAACTTTGGGTCCACCTTGGAAATGTGTGTATGTAAATTATGAAGAAGGTAGAAATTTTTTTTTAGATAGTACCTTGTTAATTCTTCAAATTAAATATATGAACTGATTTTTTTTTTTCCTCATTTTAAGGGAAGTCTTGAGACTTTTTCTGGACTGGGACTAATACTAGGTCCTCCTGTAGGTGGCTTTTTATATCAATCCTTTGGCTATGAGGTGCCCTTTATTGTTCTGGGATGCGTAGTTTTGCTGATGGTACCACTCAATATGTATATTTTACCCAATTATGGTAAGTCCACGCTTATCATCCATTTTAAGAACCTTAAATATATGTTTACACCTTTGTAAGATACCAGTTTACCAGATGTTTTATTTTATATAATCAAAAATAGCTCTTAAAAATAAATGATTCTTTTTTCAGTAATATAGGCAATTAGTTTATATGAATTTCTGTCAATTGCAAATTCTTTCCAAACTTTAAAGCTAGCAAATATTTAATTTCTGACCATAAACCATTATCATATACCATGTCTACCAGAGTTCTTCTTGTACTGAACTAAATACCAAAACAGGAAGTTTCTATGGGCCACACATGGCCCAGTCTTTCTACAATGCTGTGAGCTAGAAGAACAATGCCCATCCATCTTTCCCAGTGGTCCTTGCAGCTGTCCTCACAATGTAGCTCAGATGCAAGAATGTAGATTCAGGTGTTTTCATTTAGCAGTGCTTTTAAAAATTATAAACTAGGCCAGGCACGGCGGCTCATACCTGTAATCACAGCACTTTGGGATGCCAAGGCTGACAGATCACTTGAAGCCAGGAGCTCGAGACCAGCCTGGCCAACATGGTGAAACCCTGTGGTCTACTCAAAATACAAAATTAGCTAGATGTGGTGGTGCACACCTGTAGTCCAAGCTACTCAGGAGACTGAGGCACGAGAATCACTTGAACCCAGGAGGCAGAGGTTGCAGTGAGCCAAGATCATACCACTGCACTCCAGCCTGGGTGAGAGAGGGAGACTCTGTCTTTAAAGAAAGAAAGAGAGAGAGCGAGAGAGAGAGAGAGAGAGAGAGAGAGAGAGAGAGAGAGAGAGAGAAAGGGAGAGAGAAAGAAGGAAAGAAAGAGAAAGAAAGAAAGAAAGAAAGAAAGAAAGAAAGAAAGAAAGAAAGAAAGAAAGAAAGAAAGAAAGAAAAGAAAGACCTAGGTTTAACTTTATCTCTTACATCCTGAAATAATCTAAGTATAACACTTAAAATAGTTGAACCACACTTCATGATGTTTTTCCGCTTGGCCCCATATTTGATCATGATTCAACAAGTATTGATAGAATATTGAACTGTGCAGGATGTTGTGGGAGAAATGGGGATAAATGAAGGCTTTTCATAGCCATCAAAGAGCTTCCACATCCATAATTGGGAGGCTGAGATGGGAGGATCACTTGAAGTCAAACATTTGAGACTAGCCTGGGGAACATAGGGAGACCCCATCTCTAAAAATGTTTTAAATGAGCTGGGTGAGGTGGTGCACACCTGCACTCCCAGCTACTTTGGAAACTGAGGCAGGAGGATCACTTGAGCCCAGGATTTGGAGGCTGCAGTGAACTATAATAACACCACTGCACTCCAGCCTGGGTAACAGAGCAAGACACTCCATCTCTTAAAAAAAAAAAAAGGCTTTCATGTCTGATATGATTTGGCTATATCCCCACCCAAATCTCACCTTGTATTATAATAATCCCTACATTTTGAGGGTGGGGCCAGGTGAAGGTAATTGAATCGTGGGGGTGGTTCCCCCATACTGTTTTCATGGTATTAAATAAGTCTCACAAGAGCTGATGTTTTTCATAAATCGGAGTCCTCCTTGCACAAGCTCTCTTGCCTATTCCCGTGTAAGATGTCCCTTTACTCTTCTTTCATCTTCCACCATGATTGTGAGGCTTCCCCAGCCATGTAGAAATTTGAGTTTATTAAACTTCTTTTCTTTATAAATTACCCAGTCTTAGGTATGTCTTTATTAGCTGTGTAAGAACAGATTAATACAAGGTCCAAACCTGATATTATCTCTGGCTAGGATAAGTATAATAGTTACAACCTGTAACCTAAGACCCTTCTTCCCCTGACACTTTGATTCTTTTTAAATGTGGGAAATTATTTTTGATAAATTGAATGTGGCCTCTAAATTTGAATAATTTATATTCAAGTGTAGACAATATACAATTTTAGGCAAAATCAGAGGTTGAGTTATTTTGATTACCAGATAAAGATGGCCTTACCAGTTTTCAAAATAAGTTAAAATTAAGAGTTTTTAATTCCTTTGATTTTCTTTTTTTTTTTTTTTTCATTTTCCCCAAAGAGTCTCATCCAGATGAACACTCATTCTGGAAACTGATTGCCTTACCCAAAACTGGCCTTATATCCTTCGTCATCAACTCACTCAGCTCGTGTATTGGCTTCCTTGATCCTACTCTGTCTCTCTTTGTTTTGGAGAAGGTAGGTTGCCTGCTTGCTGAAGAGTGCTGCATGGTAGCAGGTGGATGTAGCTGCTTGTTCTTGGGCCCTTGTGGAAAGACCCTTGCATGGCTGTGAGAAGGAGGCAGAATGGGTACTACACACCACGTAGCCCATCCCTCTCTGCCGAACCGGTGAATGGGGACCCGATTTAGTAGAAATGAAAGAAGTCTTTCACTGAGTGGCCAAAACATTGGTTTCCTTCTTTCCAAGACCTTGCTTATGCCATTGTAGGTCTAGCTTGGGCATCATCCATGCTGCTTAACAAGGACACATTTCCTCTATTTGTTTCAATTGCAGTAAGACATTAGGGGTGCACAGTAGTAGTTCATTTGATGTGAGATATGCTTCTTCTGTAATAGATCTTCCCTAGGTCCACTTACTTTTTAGGCTACTTCATATAATCAAATGCCTATGAACTACATTATTCTCGAGATGGAGAAAGGAACCAAGAATCTCTAGCATTAAAAAATAATATGTTGAGGCCGGGCACAGTGGCTGATATCTGTAGTCCCAGCACTTTGGGAGGCCGAGGCAGGTGGATCACCTGAGATCGGGAGTTGGAGACCAGCCTGACCAACATGGAGAAACCCTGCCTCTACTAAAAATAGCCATGTGTGGTGGCACATGCCTGTAGCCCCAGCTACTCGGGAGGCTGAGGCAGGAGAATCACTTGAACCCGGGAGGCAGAGGTAACAGTGACCTGAGATCGCACCACTGCACTCCAGCCTGGGCAACAAGAGTGAAACTCCGTCTCCAAAAAAAAAAAATTGTTGAATTCTAAAAGTTTGATGTCATCGAAATTTGTTCTTAGATATTTTTGGAAAAATATTTTTTATGATACAGTAAAGTCCATTACCAGGCATAGTAGTTAATTACACTTGAGAATTAATGTTTTGGTAAAGGGCAAAAATAACTAACTTTAGCCAATAATGACTTTATTGGAGGCACTAGATTTAAAATAGCACAAAAACTTAAGTTTCAATATAGTTTCTAATATGATCAATAAAGTTTCTAATATGATCACTTCAAATACTTTCTGAACATTTACCTATCATAGAATGTAAAGATTAAATTTATTTTTTGTTATAATTTTATACTACCCCCTGAAATCACTAAAGACAGTTTGGGGTACTTTACAGGTAAACTTGGGGACTGTTATTTTAGTGCCTGGTCCAAGATTTAGAGAGTAATGTAATATTGCCTTTAGCCAGTGAGTATCCATAAGGTACCCATAAGAAAAATGTGTTGTGATTATGGTGACACGGTCCATTTAGATCATCAACAACCTGTGTTTTTTAGCCATTTTTCTGTGTTTCTAGGAAGCTGTGTCTAAACAATGAAAATCTATAATCTCTGGGAAATCCAAGTTGTTCGTGTATATCTTATAAGGAATCTTTTGTCGTTGTTGTTTCTCAAGTAAATGTGATTTATTTTAAAAAGATGAGGAAGACAGGAGGTTTCTTCAAAGATAACTATAGTCGACCCATCTGTGACATGGGAGGTAGTATAGGCCCTGCTTGCTTCTGGCTGATGATGGACTGTACCAGACCTTTTTTTTCTTTTGATACAGTCTCACTGTGTCACCCAGGCTGGAGTACAGTGGCAAAATCTCGGCTCACCACAGCCTCTGCCTCCCAGGTTCAAGCTATTGTCCTGCCTCAGCCTCCTGAATAGCTGGGATTATACACATGCGCCACCATACCAGGCTAATTTCTGTATTGTTTAGTAAAGACGGGGTTTCATCATGTTGGCCAGGCTTGTCTCAGACTCCTGACCTGAAGTGATCTACCTGCCTCGGCCTCCGGAAGTGCTGGGATTATAGGCGTGAGCCACCCCACCAGGCCTTACATCAGACTTTGCTAGCTGTGGTGGAGCCTTACCACTGCCACTCGCTTTTTAGGTTGAAGTGCTGCGGGGCATGCCATTAGCCAACTCCACCCTAAGAAATTTTTTTTTTTTCTGAGATCAAATCTTGCTCTGTTGCCGGGGCTGGAGTGTAGTGGTAAAATCTCAGCTCACTGGAACCTCGGCCTCCTGGGTTCAAGCAATTCTCCTGCCTCAGCCTCCTGAGTAGCTTAGGTGTGTGCCACCACACCAGGCTAAATTTTGTATTTTTAGTAGAGATGGGTGTTTCGCCATGTTGTTCAGGCTGGTCTTGAATGCCTGACCTCATGATCCTCCTGCCTTGGTCTCTCAAAGTGCTGGGATTACAGGTGTGAGCCACTGCGCCTGGTCCAACCTAAGAAATATTTAGAAATTTATTTTCCTCTTTTTTCTGAATCCGAAATCCTATGGTTGGAATCCAAGAACCTCTCTTAGCAAGTTCTCCAGGTAATTTTTATGCACATTAAAGTCTGCAAAACATTAATTTACATATCAAAAAGCTCTGAGTTATGGAAGCAAAATATGTCTAATGCCAAAGGCTACAAAGCAAAAAATCTACTCTTCTGACATCTGCTCAGGTTATTCCCCCATAGAGAAAAAGTTATGCATTTTCAAAGGTAAGACAAAAATTAGGAAAATGCAGAATATTATCAATAGACTCATGGTAATAACAAGAGCTAAAGAAATGGTAGAAGGAAAACAGGGATGTTAATTTAAAAATGACTTAATTATGTAACTTTAATGCAGGATTTCTTTTACAGTTTAATTTACCAGCTGGATATGTGGGACTAGTATTCCTGGGTCTGGCATTGTCCTATGCCATCGCTTCACCACTGTTTGGTCTCCTCAGTGATAAAATGCCAGTACGTACACTTAATTTATATTGGAGTCACCTTTGTATGTTTAGAGTAGTGGTTTTCCAACTCTGGGGGTCCACTGGTTAGAACTGATATATTCAATTGGACTGATGGAGAGGTTTCAGTGTCTTCTATCACCTGAAGGGTCAGCTATCACTCTAAGCCAATTCACTTTAAATTGCTTCACCTGTGAAAAGAGGAAGAGTCTTATGCTTAGAAAGAACGAACGGAAGAAAGAAAAGAAAAGAAAGAAAGAAAGAGAAAGAAGAAAGAAAGAAAGAAAGAAAGAAAGAAAGAAAGAAAGAAAGAAAGAAAGAAAGAGAAAGAAAGAAAGAAAGAAAGCTATTGGATTACACTTTCTTTTTCTAATTTCTTACCTCCATTTTGTCATCCAGGCTGGAGTATAGTGGTGTGATCATGGCTCACTGAAGCCTTGAACTCTTGGGCTCAAGTGATACCTCTAGCATCAGCCTCCTAAGTAGCTGGGACTATAGACATGTGCCACCACATCCAGCTCCTGGATTAGACTCTCTAAAGGAAAAAACTCTCTTAATGCAAAAACATGGATTGATCTTAATTAAAAAGGGCAGAGTCCTAGAGGCAATTATGGACTCGATCAAATTCAGAGATTCTTCTTTAGGAGGAGATAATTTAGATTTTCTGAGTGAAAGAACTGACCACATAAATACACTGGTTATTCCATAGCCTTTCTGATGAAAAACTTATTCTGTTTTCTTTCAACTAGGTTTAAACCATTCAGTCCAGATAACGAAAGTATAGAATTAGTACTGTTAGTCAAATCTTAAACTTCTGTGACTTTAGGGCTTATATTTTGCATTTCCCCTCTTTGTTTGATTTGCTTATATATTTATCAAGAACAAAATTACTTGCGGATTACTTTGTAACCCAGATGACAAAAAACAGGTATCTTAAACAGTGTTTGGAGCTTGGTTTTCAGACATAATCTCACATAACTGAGCAGATATGGTAGCCCTGTAATTTTTGTCCTGATTCAAGTAGTTTATAAGGGATAAATTTATTGGGTACAATCCTGGTGCATTCAGGATACTACAGCAAAATACCATAAACTGAGAGGCTTTATAAACAATGGAAATGTATTTCTCATAGTTGTGGAGACCAAGTTGTCCAGGATTAAGGCACAGGCAGATTTGGTGTCTGATGAGGGCCTGTTGCCTGGCGCACAGATTGTCGTCTTTCACTGTACCCTCATCATGATGGAACGGGCACAGGAACTCTCTGGGGCCTCTTGTATACTGGTGCTAATCCTATTCATGAAGGCTGCACCAGGATACCGTCACATTGGGTGTTAAGATTGAACATATAAATTTTGGGGGGACATAAGCATTCGGTCTGTACCAGGTAATTTTTTAATAATGTGATTTTTTTTTTTTTTTTAGGTATTGTAACTATTAATACTTGGTGGGGATTTTTTGGTGGTCACTGCTGTTTTCTTTCCTTTTTTTTTTTTTTTTTTTTTGAGACAGAGTCTTACTCTGTCACAAGGATGGAATGCAGTGGTGTCATCTCGGCTCACTGCAACCTCTGCTTTCAGGTTCAAGCAATTTTCCTGCCTCAGCCTCCCAAGTAGCTGGGATTACAGATGTGTACCACCATGTCCAGCTAATTTTTGTATTTTTTTTAGTAGAGACAGGGTTTCACCATGTTGGCCAGGCTGGTCTCAAACTTGTGAGCTCAAGCGATCTTCCCGCCTCGACCTCCCAAAGTATTGGGATTACAGGTGTGAGCCACCGTGCCTGGCCCATCACTGCTTTTTATAGTTAGTTTTTTCATTGTTATATTTGGAATAGTTCTTCATGTGCAAAATCTGATCTGCGATACACTCCCCTGCTCAGAAATCTTTGTCCTTTGTTCACTTTCTGTCTTGTTATATATTGCCCTTGCTTTCGAGTTTATGGTCTACTTATTTTCTCTTAAATGTAGTTTCATTTTCTTCATTATATTTGGGTTTTTTAATATTATGACTTGTATTCTTTACTAACGTTTTACATTGTTCGATTACCGAGGGTCCTCGCCTCTTTGAATCACTTTGACTCTCTCTCCTTACCAGCATCTAAGGAAGTGGCTTCTAGTGTTTGGAAACTTAATCACCGCCGGGTGCTACATGCTCTTAGGGCCTGTCCCGATCTTGCATATTAAAAGGTAATGTTTTTCTTCTTCTGTATGTTTGGCCAAGTAACATTAGGAATTATTTACAAAACTTTTGTTGTAACACTGGTGTAGTTTAGTATTTTGAGCCTTAATATTTCAATAATTAACTTTAGGACTCTACTGAGTTGTTAGGCTGACAATATGTTACCCTACTAGAAGCTAGCAGTGGGACAAGAAGAAAAAAATGCATAAAATCGGTATCAGATGACAAAAATGCGTATTCTCCTTCTGTGTTTCAATTGTACATATTTGTTTATATTTTATTTTTAAAATAGCATTTGTTGCTTCCTACCTTTTAGTTGATAGTTCTTGGAATATATTTTTGTTTTTTTCTGTTCATCTTCCTTATTCCTTGAGGCAGGGACCAAATCTGTTTTTGTTTCTGTATCAGCCTTACCATGTATTAGCTGCTTATTAAAGCTTGCTTAACATAATTTAGTTGCTAAAATAAACTGAATTTCTTAGACCTTCTGAGGTACTTCTGGGATGAAACATGGTAACATGGAGAGAAAGAGATTTCAGAGTCCTTCAGACTTGAGTTTATATTTTGTTGCCATGTACCAGTAGTGTGAACTTGGGCAAATCACTTAACTTCTAAGAGCCTCGGTTTTCTCATCTACCAACAGGAGCTGATAATAGTACTTACACCACAAGGATTAAATCTGATAACATATATTAAGTAACTGGCATAGTCTCCTCACATGGAACAAGGGTGTCTCCTGACTCTTTTACTTCTTTCCTTCTATGCCATTTTTAAATTAATTGAAGTTCAAAGCCAGGTGATTGAAAGAACCGTGTTAGTATTGACATTTTTACCAATTTTGAAGGGATTTTGTCTGGTGAGAAGCCAGGTTGGTTCCAGACATGATACATGTGACCAAAGGACCAAAGAGATGGAGATCATCAGGATGAATTCCCACCCCCAAACTGTAAGGAGCCAAAGGACACTCTCACTGAAGGAAATGAGTTAGATGGGAAGAGAATGAGGCTAGGCACATAATCAGTGAAATTAACTTCTCTGGGATCCTAACTTAGCATTTAAGCTTTGTGTTTTCTAAAATACTAATATTTTTCTTTTTGTTTTTGTTTTCTTCAAAACCCTCTCACAGTCAGCTCTGGCTGCTGGTGCTGATATTAGTTATAAATGGCATCTCTGCTGGAATGAGTATAATTCCAACTTTCCCGGAAATTCTCAGCTGTGCATAGTAAGTTACTTCCAATGCTTGAAGAGCTGTATTGTGAGTCAGTAGTAAGTATCACAGGCTTTCCTCAATTTCTCAAGTTTGCAGCATGTTGGATATTTTTGCCCCAATGTTAAATCTTCCTGATTTTGTAGCCTATGATATTGTGATGTACATAGTAATAATACACTAATAGAAATGATAATAGTACTCCTAATACAGTAATAGCTAAAATGGGTTGAGGACAGATGTCTGGCTTGGTTTATGCCTTAGTATGTATGTAATTTTGAAAAGCTAAAGCAAAATGAACAGATCTCAGCATTGTTCCTCATTCAGGGAGGAGGTCCATGCCAGAGCCTAGGTGACCAGGCATCTGTCACCTGGTCATTATTCTTTTGTTTAATAGGTGTGATGATGAAGGACACTAGGTATTGTGGCTGTGCTGGGTCAATTCAACAATTCTCATAGGAATAAGGAGCTATCTCTGTTTTTTAAAAGTTGCCTTCATTCTCTTTCCATCTTCTTCTCATTTTAAGAATGTTTTAGTTATATATTTTTATAAGCATTTAATGCAAATAAGCAATGCTTCTTTTTTTTTTTTTTTTTTTTTGAGACAGAGTCTCGCTCTGTCACCTAGGCTGGGGTGCAGTGGTGTGATCTAGGCTCACTGCAACCTCCGCCTCCTGGGTTCAAGCAATTCTCCTGACTCAGCCTCCCGAGTAGCTGGGATTATAGGCACATGCCACCACGCCCAGCTAATTTTTTAAATTTGTATTTTAGTAGAGATGAGGTTTCACCGTGTTGCTCAGGCTAGTCTTGAACTCCTGAGCTCAGGCAATCTGCCCGTCTCAGCCTCCCAAAGTGCTAGGATTACAGGTGTGAGCCACTGTGCCCAGCCTCTTCTTAATATCAATATATGTAGAAAAATTATTTCTAGAAAACCATGGAGTGAATGTAACTATGAAAATTTTTTTAAATTAGATTTGCTTTTATGTTAGGAGTGTTCTTGCTGTTGGTCCAGATTATCCCTGGTTTATCTTAATTGATCTATCATACAATTTTTTCTTTCACACAGGTTTTCCTTTTAGTAATGGACACACTCATGTCTCTTTTTGCAGTGAAAATGGGTTTGAAGAGGGATTAAGTACATTGGGACTCGTATCAGGTCTTTTTAGTGCAATGTGGTCAATTGGGTGAGTAGTCATTTAATTTCTTTCTTTCTTTGTTTCTTTTTTGAGACAGAGTTTCACTCTCATCACCCAGACTGTAGTGCAAGGGTGCAGTCGTGGCTCCCTGCAATCTCCACCTCCAGATTCAAGAGATTCTTCTGTCTCAGCCAGCTGGGTGGCTGAGATTACAGACACTCGCCACCACGCCTGGCGAATTTTTGTGTTTTTAGTAGAGACGGGTTTTCACCATGTTGGCCAGGCTGGTCCTGAATTCCTGACCTCAGGTGATCTGCCCTCTTTGGCCTCCCAAATGCTGGGATTACAAGCGTGAGCCACTGTGCCTGGCCTCATTTAGTTTCATTCACACCTGCAAGATGGAAGATATTAATACTATCCCCTCTTTAGTTGATAAAGAAATTGAAACACTGAGCGGTCAGATGGGTTTCTCAAAGACAGTTCATCTAGGGCAGAGCCAGAATTCTAATCCATACCCTCTCACTCCACAATCAGTGCTTATACCAGCAGTTTTAATACTTAGTCAAAATGGTTTCATGTACTTTATCTTATTTAAGTGATATTTATAAGTTCCTTTAATAGAAACATGTCTCCAATTATTACAACGTTTTTCATTTATTAATTGATTTATTTATTTGTTTACCTTCTACCAGAAGGGTAACTATGCTAACAATGTAATATATTATTTTGAACTGAGTTATTTTGGTTGCAAATACTGAGAATAGAATAATATAAAGAATTTTTTAAACTTGTTACATCTTTTTTATTTTTATATAAGCCATTGACTTTTCAGAAGCACTAATAATTCCACAACTGTTTATAAATGTTGAATATCATCATCAGGTAGACTAATTTTCTTTTACTCAATGCTGTGCCCCGGAATTAACTTTTTCTTTAGTACTTATATTCCAGTTTAAGGAAGACTTACAATTGAAGGATCATGTAGCTTTTCTGAAGTAATTATTATTTTTTGCTCTGTTGAATACTTTTTCTTCTTTCTATTGTTAGTGGTTTTATAGGATCGACGCTGGGTGGATTTCTGTATGAGAAAATTGGTTTCGAATGGGCGGCAGCTATACAAGGTCTATGGGCTCTGATAAGTGTGAGTAACCAGTCTTTTATTTTCATTTTCCTTATATTTGTAGAAAAACTTGACTTGGAAAATTTACATTAATCAGTACCTTTGATTATGTTTAAGGGATTAGCCATGGGCTTGTTTTATCTACTGGAGTATTCAAGGAAAAGAAGGTATTGTCAATTTTGGGGCTTTTAACTTCTTTAAAAGTTAGCCAGTGCAAGTGGAAAATAAATAACATTTTACAGTCGTAGCAAATCCAGTCAGTGGATTTCTAGGCACTCTTAGACTTATCAGTTGGTAGATGCTTTTTTAAATTTTTATTTGTTGAGATAGTGTCTTGCTCTGTCACCAGACTGGCATGCGGTGGCATGATCTCAGCTCACTGCAACCTCTGCCTCCCAGTTTCAAGCAATTCTCCTGCCTCAGCCTCCCATGTAGCTGGGACTACAGGCATGAGGCACCGTGCCCTGCTAATTTTTATATTTTTGGTAGAGACAGGGTTTCACCATGTTGGCCAGGCTGGTTTTGAATTCCTGACCCCAAGTGATCCGCCTACCTCGGCCTCCCAAAATGCTGAGATTACAAGCCTGAGCCACTGCATCTGGCCAGTAGATGCTTTTTAAAAAAGATAGTTGAATGAGGATACAGGTACTGGGTTTTTTATTTTGTTTTGCTTTTGTTTTTAAGATGAGAAATACTGAGATTCATCTCTTCTTTCCCTCAATGTAGGACTAAATCTCAAAATATCCTCAGCACAGAGGAGGAACAAACTGTTCTCTTGCCTAATGACACCTAGCCCAACAGATCCTGGATTGATACAAGGCTGAGAGATGAATGCGCCTGGCCTTAAACGTCACTGTAGGAAGGGTTTTTAAAATTTTACGCACAAAACTCCATAGACCCCGTGCCAGTATCTTGGAAGTGTCAATGTGTTTTTGGATGATCTTGTATTGTACTGTACTTACTGTGATACTGACAAGCAGTCCTGATGAACCGGCTATACTTGAAATATTAATTATGAAAGAGGTAGTTGAAAACAAGCAAAAAAAAACACTTGTCCTTGAAGATGTTGTTACTGAGTTACTTCTCTTGTTTCCTCTGTTTATTTTTTATTCTAAGTACTGCTGATTCTGTGAATGTATCTTTTTTATTAACAGGGAAAAAAATTAATTAATTTTATATGCTCTAAATACATAAAGATGCTTCAAAATATATAGATACATTACTATGAAATCAGTTTTTAAAAGATATACTTTCTCATTGTCCTGAGGTTTTTGGTCTTGTTCGAAAGGAAGAATTCTTGCCTTTCATACAGAAACTCTCTAGCACCCCCTGGCCTCAAGCTTTTCTAAAAATTCTGCTTGTGTGAAAAGTACAAGAATAACAATACTTACAACTTCCATTTGTGTAACCTACTTTCAATTATGATCTGGATTTATAAACATTACTTGGTATAATGTTTATTTCCTTTAATGTCTCTGTTTTTTGGTTCTACCATCTGTTTTGTTTTTGTTTTTATCCATATTCTTGGTGAATGTATTTCATCCTTAGAGCAGGTCAGCCTTTTTCCCCTAATGCAAATGCTTGTTCTGTTAGGGAAGGGCTTCCGCCAAATTCGTGTGAAATCCATGCTGTTGCTTGAAGTAAATAGACATCTATTGTGTAACTCTCATACTTCTTGATCTATTTGCATGGTATAGTAGCCACATGTATAGTAATATTTTTAAAGAAGAAATGGTTTTATCTCTTCATTCAAAAATATCTTTTGAATGCCTTCTCTGGGCTGACACTGTGCTTTTTTTTTTTTTTTTTTTTTTGAGATGGAGTCTCCCTCTATCACCCCGCTGGAGTGCAGTGGCGCAATCTTGGCACACTGCAACCTCTGCCTCCCAGGTTCAAGCGATTCTCCTGCCTCAGCCTCCTGAGTAGCTGGGACTATAGGTACCCACCGCCACACCCAGCTAGTTTTTGTATTTTTAGTAGAGATGGGGTTTTACCATGTTGCCCAGGATAGTCTTGATCTCCTAACCTCATAATCTGCCCTCATCGGGCTCCCAAAGTGCTGGGATTACAGGTGTGAGCCACCTCGCCTGGTATAATCTCTGCTTTTATGTAACTTATGCTAGTGGAAGAGACAAACAACAAGTAAATATCAGACTTTCCAATTATCTTACAGAAATGCTAAGAAGGAAAAAAAAAAACATGGTGATGTGATAGAGTAGTTGGCTAGGGTAGTTTAGATGTGAGTGCCTCATTTGAAAAAGTTCATGGCAGTGGGACCTTTGAGTTAAGATCTGAAGGAGAAGAATGTAACCACCATTCATTCTGACAGAGGACAGTTTGTAGTATGTGCACACTGGCTTGGCATGGTCAAAGGAGGTTCTATGATCTTGTCCTGCCTCCCTGCCTGGCTGCTACCCCAATAGGAAAAGGAGTGGGGCCATGATTCACTTTTCAGGGAAATGCCAAGCTGTTTTCTAGAGTGGCTGTACCATCTTACATTCCCAGCAGCAATGTGTGCGTAATACAGTTACACAGCAGGTTGTTTAGCTTTAAAAAAAAAAAAAAGAATGGTGCATGAAATAAGTGGAATGAAAGCTTTTGATCAGAAAGAGAATCTATGGTACAATTGGAGGGAATGCCATCAAGATTAGCAAGTAGAAATAGAATTTAAGTTCATATTTTAGGAGAAACCATTCAGATCAGGTTGACCTGGAAGAGAAGAAATTTGAAAGACTTCATGGAGACAAAACAGTGCAAAACTGAAGTAGACACATTGACATTCTTTTAACAAGACAGTAATCAAGGACAGGTGGGTATCTGCCAGGGAGAGTTAAAGACCCGGGTCAAGCTGTCTCGGGCATGGCCCTTGTAATAGGGCCACCGTCTTGTAGGAATGAAGCAATAGTAGTAACAGCAAAAATTATTCAGCATATATCACCATTTTGCAGATAAGGAAAACTGAGGCACAGAGAGGGCACATAACTTGCTCACAGTCGCATAGCTAGGAAGTGGTTCAGTCCCAGGCATTCTGGCCTCAGAGTCCATGTCCGTGTTAATTATTACCAGATACCACCATGACTCGTATAACTTACAGTGAGAAAAAAAGCTCACCATAACTAGAAATAGGACCATACACAATTTAGTTCTAATTTGAAGGACAGTCTAGAGTGGGATCTGTGTTACAATAAAAGAATAATTTGCTAAAGAGAAAAAATTTGACATGAATATGAGAGTCAACTTCAGCTTTATAGGCTAGAGAATCTCCAGCTTCTATTGCTGTGGTTTTTCTGCTGAACTTCATTCAGTAGAAATCGTGTCAATGCACCTGGCCTGTGTCATCTGGCCCATACAGCTTCTTGAAAGAAAAGCTCAGGAATCAGAATTGCCAGGCTAGCATAAAATAGACACTCCTTCTGGTGTCTGACTGAAGATGCAGCATCCTTGAACCAGCTGCTGCTGCTGCTGGGACGCCTCTCTGTCATCCCAGAGGGTATGGCCTGCCCGGAAAGTGAAACCAAAACAGGAAGTCACCAGGGGTAACTGGAGGAGCAGGGGCCTTGGAAAGGAAAGCAGTGGAGATCCAGAGGGGTGGAAGGCTCCCCCTTGACAGAAGCTGTAAGTAGTTATCTTTGGCTGCAAACGTACTTTTTCTTTGCTTCCTTGCTCACTGAAAATGAACAAGTGGCATTACTGATGAATTACTGTGACATTCTCACATTGCTCAATAAAACATAAACTTTTCTATTTTTAATTTGTCTTTTTTTTCACATCTGAGAATTCCCTTTTGTTTTTGTACCATACGCTTTCAAATGCACGTCTCTCCAACTGCCTACATAAATCAACGAGTGACTTGGCTCCAGTTCCTGTGGGTTTATTTCTGTGGTGGCAGTCATCCTGACTTTACCAAAAGCTTTTAATGCAATCAAGAGAACTTCCTAAAAGGACCTGCTGGTGGATGCAAGAAACTTTTGGCAGTAAATAGATTGGCATAGCAGGTGGAACTATGAGATTAATATTGTTAAGATTTTCTTTTAAGGAAGTAGGAGATGTCGGAAAGTAGGGGACATGCTACCAACTCAAAGAGACTTCTACAACTTCAGTCCTAAGCTTCTGAGACAGGAAAGCAGATGTGTTGGTTGAACCATGTGAAATTACTTTTGCTAGGTCAAAAGCAGTGATTATTGGCAATTTCATGTGGCACAAGCATTTTCCATCCAGTAGCGCTTTCAGAGAATCCAAGGCTGTGATATATCATTGTCTTCTCAGATTTTCTCTTGATTTCAGCTGTGTTTGTTAGCTATCTGAAGAGTTGAACGCCCATCCAAGTCAAGTCTAAGGCTGGAGGATTACTTCACCTGAATGAGACCTGGCTCCAAAAGATGATTAAAGTTTAAGTTGGTTTTCTTCAAGCAGACCTTTCCTTTTACAGGGGCTGACTCAGTCTCGCTAAAGCCATATGCAATACTCCAATGGTGGAGAGACAGACTTTTTGTCAAACCATTTCCATACAGAAAAACACTTTCAGGGGATTTATTTCCTGGGATGGGTTCAACTTACAGAACTTTTTGAAAATGAAGGAAATCTTACAGTCTGTCAAAAGGAGCTTTGCTGTCATTTAAGCTACAAAACATTACAAAAAGAAGAGAATGAAGTGTACGTTCTAGGAGCTTTTACAGGATTACATGGCCGAAGGAGAAGAGAATACTGGCAGGTAATCTCAGCTCAAATGAAAGGGAGCTCAAGTGAAAGGTAAATTTCAGGTTAACTTTTCATATTTGTACCAGAAAACCAGGTGCCGTTCCTTGGCTCTGTCGCCCAGGTTGGAGTGCAGTAGTGCGATCTCAGCTCACTGCAATTTCTGCCTCTCAGATTTAAACGATTCTCGTGTCTCAGCCTCCTGAGTAGCTGGGACTACAGGCACAAGCCACCACATCTGGCCTTTTTTTTTTTTTTTTTTGCATTTTTAGTAAAAATGGAATTTCACTATACTGGCCAGGCTGGTCTCTAACTCCTGACTTCTAGTGATCCACCCACCTCGGCCTCCCAAAGTGCTGGGATTAAATGTGTGAGCCTGGCCTTGTATAGCTTTCAAATGACAGATTTTAAAGATGAAAACTTTTTATAGAATGTCGGCTCTGATTTTATCTTTTTTTTAAATTATACTCTATGTCCCACTGTCTTCTTCTAAAGGAAAGGATTGGAAAGAGAGGCGAGGTTCAAGGGTGGTAAAAATTTCAATATCCTTTCAGCTTCAGTGCTATTGTTGCCCAAAGATCTCTACTTCTTTGAGCTCAATGTCATCATCTACCAAACTAATCATTTAACTCTAATTCTAAACTGACTTCTTTCTCTTAATCTACTTGTTATCTCGAAAGTGGGTTGATTCTCCAATCACTTGCCATTTTTAATAAAGCAGGTAATTATAACAAACATGATCCAAATCCCATTTCAGAGGAAGAAAATTTTTTCTTCACTGTGGTTCGAAGCAAAGCAACATTTCTGGTACAAGTAACTCAGATGTAAGGCACTGTATTTTATCTGTGTTTGTGCCACATAGGTCTGCATAATGCTGAAGTGCAAAACTACTAATTTGGCTACTTGTGGATGGCCAGTAGAAACGGCTTCTAGAAGATTTGAAATGTTCTCCCTCAGTGGCACATTTGGAACAGAGTATGTTTTTCCTGAAGTGCTACTTATCGAAATTCATTTATCATCTATAAAATTTGAGATAAGAGGACTTTTATAAGAGTATTTTCATTTTATATGTTCTCCAAAGCCAAGTAAATCAAGCTATAGTCACTCTGCCGGTTAACTTTAGCTGTGTAACAAATTTCCTCAAAACCATTTCTTTGGCTCTGATTCTGTGGGTTGGCAATTTGAACTTGGTGCAGCTAGGCTGTTTTTCTGCTCTGAGATAGGCTCGGTTGATATTGGCTGTGCTCATTATGTCTGCCCTTAGCTAGTGGGTTGACTAGGACTGACCAGTTTGTGGTTGCCTTGTCCTAGACGGCTGGGATTATTAAGGCCATCTCTCCCTGTGGGCTCTCATCTTTCAGCAAACCTGAACTTGTTCACATGTTAGCTGAATGAGTCCAGAAGCATCAAGAGAAAAAATATCACAACGGGCAAGTTCTTTGCAAGTCTCTGCTTGCACTGTGTTTGCAAATGTTTCTTTGACACAGGAAGTTACATGAGCAATGTTGATTCAAGCAGTAGAGAAATAAAGAACTCAGACCTCTCAAGGGGAAGAGCCATAAAATTACATGGCCAAAGGACATGCATCAAGGAGGGAAAAATTTTGTGATCATGTTTTCAATTTATAACAACTAATTCTAAAATAATACTTCATTGAATGAACATAACAATGAACACGCCTAGAACTATGAGTTTCAGATACCACCATTCATTGAATAATGTTTGTCAATAGATTTTTAATTTACTTTTGTCATATGTGAAGACAAACAGAAAATCAGATATTTATTTTACATTTTTTTGAAACAGGGTCTTGCTTTGTCACCCAGGTTGGGGTTCAGTGGCATGGTCATAGCTCACTGAAGACTCAAACTCCTGGGCTCAAGCAGTCCTCCTGCCTCGGCCTCCTGTGTAGCTGAGGCTTACTGCTCAGGAGGCTTTATGGCATGTACCACTGCACCCAGCCTCTGTTCACAAATGATAGTGGCTGTAACTAATTAATTCACAAATTAAGCTGTCTTCAAATTAGAATTATGACTCTGCAGGCTTATATCTGCTAATATACAACACTTGCACACATGCATGTACACGCATACATACACATATTCCAGTGGTTTGGATAATAATGTCTTCTCTGAATTTTGGCAAACAGTGGCAGGGTTTCAGTAACTAGGGTGAAATTGCATGTCCTATAAAATGAAGTCCAAGTTTATTCAATCAGGGCATCAAGTAAGGAAGTCTTTAAAATTTCAGATTGCTGATGGTCATGTATCTATATCTGCTGTGTTATCAGAGTGGAATATATCATACTTATAAAAAAACCGAATTTTGTGAAGCCAACAATTTAATATACAGTGTAGCCTTAAAGCTATAAAATCCAAAGATCAGGAATCCTTGACCGCCATAGAACCTGGTTAGGTAGAATCTCATGGGCAAATTGAGGCTGTAATAAAGGCTGAAGTGTCAGCTACGGAAAATCATGATTAGATCTACAGTGAGGAGCCTGGGACTAAAATCCAGTAGCTAGAAGATGGCTGAACTGACATAAATATCTGAGGTCACTTCAAGGAAGTGAGAGAGGAGAAATCAGTCACCGAGGTAAACTCAGGAGGGCATAGGGTCTCACCATATTGATGCATTATCAATAACGTAAGCCCAGACATTTAAACTGAGCATGTAATCTAATTTTCTGTAATCTCATTTCCGACTTTTTCCATGTCTTGGACTCATAGAAATCTATCTCTTTGAGGAATTATCCCAAAGCAGGACTGAGCATTTACCTGATGAAACGACTTCATCCATGGGAGAAGGACAAAAACGCTAGGGTTTTCCTGACCAGGTTAAAGATCCAAAGCCAGAAATACCATTTCACTCTTACTCTGAACTACATAAGTGTTTGAAGGTGGATGGTGATAATGCGTGAGGAGTTGGAGAACATAAATAAATTATTCCATAGCTACTTCCTTTCTTTGTTTTAGAAATTTCATCCCAAACGGCTTCAGGCAGTTAAGAGTTAGAGAATACAAGAGAATGCTCGTTTAAGTGCTTAACTCCATAGTATTTGTACATCTCAACTCCTACAAAATGTTTTTTATTTTTAATTATATTATTATTATTATTTGAGATGGAGTCTTGCTGCGTCGCCCAGGCTGGAGTGCAGTGGCGTGGTCTCGGCTCACTGCAACCTCCGCCTCCTGGATTCAAGTGATTCTCCTGCCTCAGTCTCCTGAGTATCTGGGACTATAGGGGTGTGCCACCATGCCCAGCTTATTTTTCTATTTTTAGTAGAGATAGGGTTTCACCACATTGGCCAGGTTGGTTTCGAACTCCTGACCTCTAGTGACCTGCTGCCTCGGCCTCTGAAAATTCTGGGATTACAGGCATGAGCCACCATGCTCGGCCTTGTTTTTAATTTTTGTGGATACATAGTAGGTATATATATTTATCAGTTACAGTAGATATTTTGATACAGACATGCAATGTGTAATAATTACATCAGTGTAAATGGGGTATCAGTAGGTCTCAACTTTTAATAATTCTGTGAACTTGTCATGCTCTCTCCCATCTCTGGCTCCTTCTTCTTGGATGGAAGGAAGGAGTGAAGGGAGGCATAGCACCTATTCTTTAAGTTAGGCACCTATAATCATCATTTTGATCCTGTCTCCCTTGCTGCAGTTCATTTGCAGAAGGAAATGAGATATAGATTGTATTACACCAAAAAAAAAAAAAAGAATGAAAGAAAGAAAGAGGCATGTGACAGCTGGCAGGGAGGATCTTTGGAATTGCAGTCCCTTGGAGGAAGCATCATGGTGAGGGCGCTGCAGGTCTTTATTGTACAAGTGTAGATTCTCTGTGGCATGACTTTCACTGAAGTTCATCAGGTTCTAAGGAACAGATCAAACTTGTAAGATAATCAAACTTGTAAGACAGATAATCAAACTAATCAAACTCATAAGATAGAGAAGGCCCACGCCTGTAATCCCAGCACTTTGGGAGGCCAAGGAGGGTGGATCACGAGGTCAAGAGATCGAGACCATCCTGGTCAACATGGTGAAACCCCGTCTCTACTAAAAATACAAAAAATTAGCTGGGCACGGTGGTGCGTGCCTGTAATCCCAGCTACTCAGGAGGCTGAGGCAGGAGAATTGCCTGAACCCAGGAGGCGGAGGTTGCGGTGAGCCGAGATCGCGCCATTGCACTCCAGCCTGGGCAACAAGAGGGAAACCCCGTCTCAAAAAAAAAAAAGATAGAGAATGCCAACTTGTTATTTTAAAAAATAGGTTCCCGGCCAGGCATGGTGGCTCATGCCTGTAATCCTTGCACTTTGGGAGGCCAAGGCAGGCAGATCATGAGGTCAAGAGATCGAGACCAGCCTGACCAACATGGTGAAATGCTGTCTCTACTAAAAATACAAAAATTAGCTGGGCGTGGTGGCACACGCCTGTAGTCCCAGCTACTCAGGAGGCTGAGGAAGGAGAATCACTTGAACCTGGAGGTGGAGGTTGCAGTGAGCTGAGATTGCACTATTGCACTCCACCCTGGGCAACAGGGCAAGATCCCATCTCAAAAAAAAAAAATTATCTTAGCTGGGAACAATGAATTTTATGTCAAGGAGACTCTTTATTGGCAAATCCTCTCACAAGTGCAAATGATAGGTCAGTTTGTTCTGTGAGCACAGAATTCAAACAAAAGGAGTTGGGCATTCTTGGAAAAGATTTCTAAGAAGCGATGGAAGTGTGAGGCAGTGTATCTCTCCTCTTTAGGACTGGGATCTAAAGGCCATGTAGGATCTAGGTGCCTACTTTCTTCAAAAAGAGCCAAAAAAGCCCCATAACCCGTTCCTGGTTTTTTTAGGGCTTCTTTTCTCTAGAGACCTTGCTGGCAGGACCCTTCTGTTAAGATGTTATTTCTAGAGAGAGCAGCCGTCATATTGAAGATGACAAGTGTTTCACATCAGTCATACTCACTATGCCTTCTTAAGTCGCTTTTCAGTTCTGTGGAGGGATGCACACTCTTCCTGTAAACATTTACCAGTTATCTTAGAGGATCACTATTGCAGAGATTTTAACACACTTATTGTGCATCCTCAACCCCCACCCCCCCTTTAGTTTTATGCTAAAAGGGTGGTGTTATTGACCATTCCCACAAATGTGGTAACATCCTACTTTAGCACCTTAGGCAACTCTGGTGTATTGTCAGAAGCACTGACAGAGTCTATTTTCAGTAACTAATTAGACAACCTTGGGAAAGTCACTTAACCTCTGAACTTCCTACTCATAGAAGATAATATCTTCCTCACTGATTTGGTGAGGATCAAATATGATAATGCATATGAAGGCCCTTTGTGAACAGTGAAGCACAATCAGTATCTTCTAGGATATTTAGCCATTTTCTTCTTTCAGTTATAAAGCATCTATTTTCGCAATTTTCAATTTCTTCTCCATTCCAACTATACTTTCCACAACTAATGGGTTCATTTTCTTTTATTCTTGTTCTATTTATTGACTGTCTATTCATGTTTCCTTCTATTCTTGTTCAATTACTTTGTACACATTCCTCTTTTTTGAAGACTCCACTGTGGCTTCAGGATAGATCTAGTCATTCATGCCTTTCACAATCTGATCTCCACCTTCCTCTGACCATATTCATTCTTCTCTTCTTTGCTAATCTTCAGCTTTAGCCAGGGTGTGATGTAACTTTTAACAATTCCTTCTCTGAGCCCTGATTTCTAGCATTTGCCAATTTTCTTGGTGTCAATAGTCCCACCATGATCAGCTTCAAGACTAGATCTGTTGGCAGAGCTTGATAGCTCATGCCTGTAATCCCAACACTTTGGGAGGCTGAGGTGGGCAGACCACTTGAGGCCAGGAGTTTGAGACCAGCCTGCACAATGTGGTGAAGCTCTATTTCCACTAAAAATACAAAAATTAGCTAGATGTGGTGGTATGTCCCTGTAATCCCAGCTACCAGGGATGTTGAGGCAGGAGAATCACTTGAACCTGGCAAGTTGAGGTTATAGTGAGCTGAGATAGTGGCACTGCACTCCAGCCTGGGTGACAGACTGAGACTCTGTCTCAATAAAGGCAAAGAAAGAAGGAAAGAAGAAAGAAAGAAAGAAAGAAAGAAAGAAAGAAAGAAAGAAAGAAAGAAAGAAAGAGAGAGAGAGAGAGAGAGAGAGAGAGAGAGAGAAAGAAAGAAAGAAAGAAAGAAAGAAAGAAAGAAAGAAAGAAAGAAAAGAGAAAGAAAGAAGGAAGGAAGAAAGAAGAAGGAGGGAGGAAGGGAAGGAAGAAAGGAAGGAAGGAAAAAAGAGGAGGGAGGAAGGGAAGGAAGGAAGGAAGGAAGGAAGGAAGGAAGGAAGGAAGGAAGGAAGGAAGGAAGGAAGGAAGGAAAGAATGGCTGTGTTTAATAGCCAGCTGTCAAAGTTCATGGAAATTTAACAATCTGTTCTCACTAGATTGTTCTAACCAATCTAGAAGAAGAACGCACATTGCCTTCACCTATCACACACACTGTGTCTCAGAATGATTCTTTGCTGATTCAATTTCCACTTCCCACAATGTCTTCTGCCATATAGCCCTTGGGAGAAATTCCTAACAGCTCATTTTTTTCTGGCAGCTTGTGTCCCCCTCCAGGAAACAGACCAGTTCAGTTTTTTCTTCTCAGACCTCCTGAGCACTTACCTGTTTTCTCTCTTTATGCTTAGAATCCGCTCCGTTTCACCATTAGCTCTTAAGTTTCTTGAGGGAAGGTGTGATGTAAACCTCTCTGGTTCCTGATTGTCTTGCACATAATCGAACTCAGTGAATCACTGCTGCTGATTTTGACTTTCCATTAACGGTTACATTCGATTGTTGAAACTAAAATCTTGGGCCCTCTTGAATTGCTCTAGTCTTCATTACATAGTAAATAGCTGCCCCCTGGCTGGCCTACTTGCTGCTTCCTCCTCAATCAGGAATGATTTGACTAGGCACTATATCTAGGAGGGTTTCAAAATCATTAATTTGCTTTAAATGCATATGTTAAGAAAGCTGACTGTACTTTCCCTACTTTTTCTTTAGGTGCTGAAAGACAGGCGTTTGGTAAATAAGAATGGATCATCTGAGCCTATACTAACAGTGTCTCTCCTTGGGAGGTGGTACACAAAGGACTCACTTTATAGGTCGTGTGGGACCAGCAATTCAGCAATAACTTACCTGCTAATATTCATATTGTTAATGATCACAGCTTTGCAAAATATTGTAATGGTATAGGGTGTCTCTTTATCACTCTGTTTCTGCTTCATATACCTGGCTAAAGGTGTTTATCAGCTTCCCAAGTTTACTAAGAAACTTTGAAGGGCTATTTTGGTAGAATAGATCAGTGAGTCCTAAATATTCTTTCTCATCAAGAATTATTTTATAAGTATTATATAATGTTCCTTTTTTGGGCTACTCTGAAATGTTGCAGTGTGGAACAATGGAAAGAGTCCGCCGTTTGGGTCAGATAAATGAAGATCAAACCCCAGCTCCAGGCTCATTTGCTCATTTGTGTGGGTTTGTATGTGTGTGAGGGTGCAGAGTGAGGAGTTTCAGGGCCATTGCAAGCACAGCTGTGCCCTTGAAGAGAGTAATAGTGATGGGAATTTAGAGGTTTATAACTGAGTTCTCTTTGACATTAAAGACAATTTGAAGTCACCTAGTTTTCTGTGCTGATGATTATCAGGAGATTTACTTTCCAATCAAAAGGTAATGTTGTTATTTATTTCTACAGTGAATGTAGTTTGAGTGCTAGAAGAATTGACTTCTATGCCAAGTTCACATCAAAGGAGAGCTGATCCAGGGCACTCAGCCCCAATTGTCCCACCTCAAGGCTATGGTATAATTTAATAGGTAGAAATCATATAACACAAAGTCCATGACAGTTAAAAGGAACATGATTTTCAGCATTTGGTTGACTTTTTACAAAATACATGTATTCCATGCTACTTGAAGTATAATAGTATATTTGTTATTGATTGTTTCATTCAGATACTCTTAAAATTAAATGATTTTGAATTTTCAGATTTGTTTTCTGATTTTTATCTCCCTACACAATTTTAAATTCAATACATTTACATTAAAAAATCACAATTGAAACATTTATCTTTTATTTCTACATATTGTCATAAACCTACTTACGGATTCTATTTTAATATTCTACTACATTACACTAGAAAATTAAGACTCCTTTTATAATCTCGTGGTTACGATTAAGAGAAGGGATATGGAAGTTAAACCACACTTTTCATTTAATTTTGAGAAGGGCATACATATTCCCTATGCTCACCATTAGGACATCAAACATGGTCATTTTAAAGCTGTAGTGAATGTGTGTTTGTGTAAGTAGTCCAAATCATAGAATCATCAAAATTTTGTGTTCTCTCTTTCTTTTTTTTTTTTTTTTTTTTTTGATGGAGTCTCACTCTGTCACCCACTGGAGTGCTTGGCGGGAGCTCGGCTTATTGCAACCTCTGCTTCTTGGGTTCAAGTGATTCTCCTGCCTCAGCCTCCCAAGTAGCTGGAATTACAGGCACCCACCACCACACCTCGCTAATTTTTGTATTTTTGGTAGAGACAGGATTTCATCATGTTGGCCAAGCCGGTCTCACACTTCTGACCTCAGGTGATTCGCCCACCTCGACCTCCCAAAGTGCTGGGATTACAGGGATAAGCCACTGCGCCTGGCTTCTTTTTTCTTTTCATAAAGTATGGGACATTTAAGATTTGCCAAATTTTACTTGAGGAAGTTAGATGTTGTGCAATGTTTTGCAGCATGTATTTTGCCTCTTGGGCAATGACGTTTCATTTGCAGAAGTTTAGATGTTGATTGAAAGTGAACAGCTGACCCTAAACCAATTGGTTTGAGTAAGATACAAGCAAGGAGCTCCTTTCACAGAAAGCGACAGTTCTGATTCAAGCTTGGAGCTGTCAGCGGTACCTCAATTTGCTAAAAAACGAAAGCACCGAGTGCCAAGAAAATTAAAGAGTACTTATTCTCTACGGTAAAACTGCCCGCACCGCATCTTAACCCAACTCCGCAATGGTTTCACGCATACATTTTATTTTATCAAACCCAAGCATAGTTTCATTTGGCCTTAATATTTCTTTGATAACTATCTTTCATCCCACTTTAAAATTTTATGTTAGTTCTTGAGTCCCTTGTGGTTCTGGAGGTAGTAAAAGTTCTTATTTTCTCCTGTGTGGCTTTCATTAGGCTTTTTTCCTGAAAAGCTCTTTTACAACTTCCTGGTTACATCCCCCTGTATTACAAAGTTACATGCTCAGCAGCAGCTTTCTCTCAGGGCTCACTATGTAGCCTTCCTTTATTCATTCAGGAAGCATTAATGACCTACCATATCCCAAGCACTAAGCACTAGGACAGTGGTCTATGCATTTTCCTTGCTCCTTTTGCCACTCTGTGACATTGCCCCCTTTGCTATGTTCTATTTCCATAATTTCTGGGATATGCTCATAACCTACTTTGCAATTACACGGCCCCTTTCTACTTTCTTTGCATTTTGACCTGTTCTCATAGTGTCAGCTCATTGCTCTGTACAGGGGATTCCCGGCAGCATTCTTTCTATGTTGGCCTGTCTAACTCCATTCTGACCATTATTCTAAGATATTCCATAGGTGATCATGGTTTTTTTTTTTTTTTTTTTTTTTTTTGAGACGGAGTTTCGCGCTTCTTACCCAGGCTAGAGTGCAATGGCGCGATCTCGGCTCACCGCAACCTCCGCCTCCTGGGTTCAGGCAATTCTCCTGCCTCAGCCTCCCGAGTAGCTGGGATTATAGGCACGCGCCACTATGCCCAGCTAATTTTTTGTATTTTTGGTAGAGACGGGGTTTCACCATGTTGACCAGGATGGTCTCGATCTCTTGACCTCGTGATCCACCCGCCTCGGTCTCCCAAAGTGCTGGGATTACAGGCTTGAGCCACCGCACCCGGCTGATCATGTTTTAAAAGGTATCTGAGGTTGGATATTTGCTTAGGTCAATATGGTTATTACATTCACACACTTACACTGAGTCACACACAGCTACTTCCAATGAAGGCATTCCTCAGAAGACATTCGGATAGAGAAACAGGGAGAACCGTGAAGAGGATTTCTTGAATATGCAGATGAGACAGACAGTACTTGGAATGGGAAAGAAAACGTGCCTGTAATCCTGGTACTTTGGGAGGCTGAGGCAGGAGAATCGCTTGAGCTCAGGAGCTTGAGACCAGCCTGGGCAACTTGGTAAAACTCTGTCTCTACCAAAAATACAAAAAATCAGCCAGGTGTGGTGGTGTGTGCCTGTGTTCTCAGCTACTCGGAAAGCTGAGGTGGGAGGATCATTTGAACCTCTGAGGTCAAGACAGCAGTGCGCTGTGATCGCACCGCTGCACTCCAGCTTGGGCGAAAAAGCAAGACCTTGTCAAAAAACAAAACAAAACAAAAATTTCTTTGAGAATTTCTGTACCACGTGAAGCTAAGTAAAAGGGGAAGAATAACAAGAGTGAACTGACTAATTTCAATTTATCTGTCTTAGAGAATTCTGTGACATCTTACTTTGTTTAAATACAGTTTGAACAGCCCTGCTGACAGCTTTGATCAGCTATGTTATAAACCTTTGCTTCCCTGTTACTTTTCATTTTGCATTTCAGAAGTTAATTAAAAAAAATACTGCACATCTACAACCATCTGATCTTCAACAAACTGGGCAAAAACAGGCAATGGGGAAAGGCTTCCCTATTTAATAAATAGTGCGGGGAAAATTGGGTAGCCATATGCAGAAAATGGAAACTGGACCCCTTCCTTACAGCCTACACAAAAATTAACTGAAGATGGATTAAAAACTTAGATGTAAAACCCAAAACTATAAAAATCCTAGAAGAGAATCTGGACAATATCATTCAGGACATAGGCACGGAAGCAGTAATTGACAAATGGAATCTAATTAAAGAGCTTCTGCACAGCCCAAAGATAATCAGAAACACAAGTCGTTCTGCCTTCATTGCCCTGATTTCTCCCGTAAAGAGAAGGCCAAACTGATCAAGGGGATCAGAAGTTATATTTAGAAACTTCTGGACGCCGGCGGATCTCTAAAGAGCTGGGTTGCGAGCTCTCCCGCGCACGCGGCCTGGCCTCCAGCACCTACTTGGTTCCGCGCGCTGGCCCTGGAGCAGCAGCCGCAGCAGCCGCTGCCGCCGCCGCCGGAAAGATGTTAGAGACGCCGCGAGGTCGCCGCCACGCCCAAGAATAAAAGTAAAGGAGGTAAAAATAGACGCAGAGGTAAGAATGAGAATGAATCTGAAAAAAAGAGAATTGGTATTCAAAGAGGATGGTCAGGAGTCTGCTCAGGTAATCAAAATGTTGGGAAATGGACGACTAAAAGCAATATGTTTCGGTAGTGTAAAGAGGTTATGTCACATAGGAGGAAAACTGAGAAAAAGGGTTTGGATACATACCTCGGACATTATATTGGTCGGTCTCGGAGACTACCAGGATAACAAAACTGATGTAATTTTAAAATATAATGCAGGCGAAACTAGAAGTCTGAAGGCACATGGCGAGCTTCCAGAGCACGCTAAACGCTCATTAATGAGACGGATACATTGGAGATGATGATGAAATTCAGTTCGATGATACTGGAGATGATAATGAAGATATTGATGACATCTAAATTGAACTCAACATTTCACATGCCATCTTTTCTGAAGATTGTCCTACATTTGGATTTTGGCCGTGACAAAGAGGACTAAAATTTCATTAGCGTGAATGCAATTTGTTAAAGCAGACTGATTTCTTTCTAAAGTATTTTGTTTCTTTTAAAAGAGTTAATGCTGATTTATCTTAAGTGAGATGTTAAGCCCACTTTCTTATTTTAATGCAATGGAGCTTATGGGTAGAAGACCACATCTACTATTAAAAAAAAAAAAATGCATTGCTGCTTTTCCTACCACTTCCGATAAGGAAATGGATGTTTTTGAAGAAATTATTTGTCTTGTCCTCATTATAGAATATGACTAAGCCCTGGCCTCCTTGATTGTATAGAGTCGTTGTGCATATTCCAATTACCTAGATATTTCCTTGAGATTTTGATGCAATTTGAGGGAGGCAGAAATCTGCATTTGAAGTAAAAAATAAGTCTGTTTGTCATATTTAAGTATCCAGTGGCTATTTTTATACTGATTTGGATATCGCGTGTTGTTTTCATAATCGTATTTTGCCACCACAAACTAAAAAAAAAAAAAAAAGGCATTTCCAAAATGCAGTTTTCAGAACCTGGGTTTTAATAGCAATTTTGAATTTGTAAGCTTAGTAGTTGCAGAAATTGAACACTAGGTGGCACTCCGTTATCTTAATATTGGAAGTACTGACAAAATTGTTGACTTACTATGTGTAAGAAATATCCCAAACACGAAAAAAAAATTGTTTTGATCGTATGCATGTATGCAGAATATTTTTACAGAGCAGAAAGATTGTTAAAAGTGTGATTTTTTTATTTTCAGAAATCATATACATGTAAGCTACTATGTAAGAAAACATACTGCAGAATATGTTATACGCTTATTTTGTGTTAAGGATACATTTTGTTATGTAAACAGTTTTGGTGTTTTGTTTTTGTTTTTTTGCTTGTATTGGGAGCTAGGTTTACTGGTAACTTCTTTGTTTAGTTTTTAGTTGTCAACTCCAATGAAATGAAACTAGGGCTGAGGTAGTTAGCCTTCACTAGCCAAACTGAAATCATATGCAACATTAAAAGAAGAGATCCATCATGTAGCTTGTGACACTTTTATTCTTTTTCGAATTTTTTTGAGATGGACTCTCGCTCTGTCACCAGGCTGGAGTGCAATGGTGTGATAGCTCACTGCAACCTCCTTGAACCTTCCTGGTTCAAGCGATTCTCCTGCCTCAGCCTCCTGAGTAGCTGAGATTACAGGCACATGTCACCATGCCCATCTGATTTTTGTAATTTTAGTAGAGACAGGGTTTCACCATGTTGGCCAGGATGGTCTTGATCTTTTGACCTCGTGATCCACCCACCTTGGCCTTCCAAAGTGCGGGGATTACAGGCGTGAACCACCCAGCCGGGCCATAACACTTTACTTCTATTAGTCCCCAGGGAACTTTTTAGTGATAAAAAGTAATACACAGGGGAATAAACCTTCACATGACTTCCAAAGGAAAACAAGCAAGTCTTCTCTAATCTACTCTTACTATAATTTCCTAAGTGTACAAACTCTGAATTCAAAAATCTGAGGTATTTAAACATTAAGTTGAAGAATAGAAATTAGGAGTACATATTCATGGTTTATATTTCTTCTTCTATGGAATTCATGAATAGTCTCCCTCTTTCTCCCAGGCTGTGGCACTATCTCTGCCCACTGCAACCTCTGCCTCCCTAGTTCAAGCAATTCTCCTGCCTCAACCCCCTGGGTAGCTGGGATTACAGGTGCATACCACCATGCCTGGTTAATTTTTGTATTTTTGGTAGAGATGGGGTTTTAAGGCTGGTCTTGAACTTCTGACCTCAAGTTATCCTCCCACCTTGGCCTCCCAAAGTGTTGGGATTACAGGAGTGAGTCACCATGCCTGGCCTCTCCCTTCTTTCTTAAAGGGAACTCTTTACATATAGTTTGGCTGGGAGTCATCCCTCTGGGCTCCAGGGTGCGCATACATTGCCTAGGCCTGCCCAACCACAGACCAGACCCACTGGGCACAGAGATTCACACGGGGCTTAGCACATGTCTGAAGCCAGGCCAGGGAGCATCCTCCCTGGGACTTTTGATTTAACAATTGGGAAAAAAAGCACTTTCTTCTATGAATAGAGGCACAGGAAACATGTAAATCTGGAGCTTTCAGGAGCCATCTTTACCGCAAATTGAAAAGCGCCATGACCAGGAGAAAGGAGAAAGGAGAGCTGAGCTAGCGAGCTCTGAAGAAATCATTTCAGCACCTGGATCCAGCCAGGTGAAGCCAGTACTCCACTAGACTTTCCAGTTTGGTGAGCCAAGGAGTGTCATCTTTTTCTTCTAAAATTATTTTGAGTTGGATTGCTATCACTTGGACAAATGCACTTCCTCATTTTTGTTACCCTAACTAATTTTGCATAGTGAGAGCCCTGTGTGATTTTCTTCAGGGTAGGAGTGGTGCTTTGAAGGCTTGATATCACTCTTCTGCCAGTCTTAGGCATAATAATCTCAAAAAACGAAATGGGAGCAATAGCTCCATAGAGGACAATGTATGGCTTTTGTCTCGTGGAGAAAAAGAGGAGAGGCTACACTAGACCTAAGGAAAGAGCCTGCTTTGGGCACTTGGAAATATCAAAGCCTAGGGGAGTTTCCTTATGAAACACTCACTTAAAAAACAAATGCAACCAGTGGCTCACACCTGTAATCTCAGCCCTTTGGGAGGCTGAGGCAGGAGGATCACTTGAGGTCAGGAGTTTGAGACCAGCCTGGCCAACATGGCGAAACCCTGTCTCTACTAAAAGTACAAAAGTTAGCCAGGTGTGGTGGCAGCTACTTGGGAGGCTGAGGTGGGCGAATCTCTTGAGCCCAGGAGGTGGAGGTTGCAGTGAGCTGAGATCCTGCCACTGCACTACTCCAGCCTGGGAGGCGGAGTGAGACTCTGTCTAAAAAAAAAAAAGCACATTTCAAGTTATTTAAAAATTTTATTTCACAGATGTTTCTGACACACATTATTTTGCATAACAATCACTCCTGGGCCCACAGCCCAGCTTATGCAATAAGACAATATGAATAGAGCAGAAGCCTCTGTGTCTCAGACTCATCAGATTTTCTCTTTTCTCCATCTCTTTCCTCCCTAGGATTGTGATAGAATATTCCCATGACTGACTTCTTGGTACTTTTCTACGTATGTACACAACCCTACTTAGTACAATTTTGCATCTTTTTCCAGGAGGCTGAGGAAGGAAAATTGCTTGAACCTGGGAGGTGGAGGTTGCAGTGAGCCAAGATTGTGCAACTGCACTCCAGCCTGGGTGATGGAGCAAGATTCTATCTCAAAAAGAAAAAAAAAAAAAGGAGCAGAGCGTGGTGGCTCATGCCTGTAATCCCAGCACTTTGGGAGCCTGAGGTGGGCAGATCACTTGAGATCAGGAGTTTGAGACCAGCCTGGCCAAATAGAAAAACCCCATCTCTGCTAAAAGTGCAAAAATTAGCCAGGTTTGGGGACAGGTGTCTGTAATCCCTGTCCCTTAGGAGGCTGAGGCAGGAGAATCTTTTGAACCTGGGAGTTGGAGGTTGCAGTGAGCCAAGATTGACCTACTGCACTCCAGCCTGTGTGACAGTGAGATCCTGTCTCACAAAACAAACAAACAAGCACACAAACAGAGGGAAGAACTTCTGGAGCAATGTCTTTGGGCTCCAGTGTTCAAGGTAGGGGCTGGACTTAAATAGGGTCAAGAGCAGTCATTTATAGTAAGGAGGGGAGAGACGGAGTTTTAGGTACAGATGGCTGGCAGGTGGGTTGATACATGGTGGGGGCTTGTGGAAGGTCTCTTTTGAGTTAGATAAATAGGCCTGAAGTTCACACAGAAGTTTGAACTAAAGATAGAAACACAGTAGTTATCATTTTGTAGGAGACAGTTGAGGGAATGAAGTAGAAAAAATCTGGGGGCAGATGAGAGGTAGAGTAAGGGATTGAAAGACAATAAACAATGTGGCTACTGTCCATAAGTACATTAAGAGTTTAGAAAAGAAAATAGCAACAAGACTGGAGAGGCAATGGATTTGAGTGCAAAAGGTAGGATTTGTTCAGAATCATTCCAGGATCAGAGCAACAGTGATTGCGTTATAATAAGAAGAGTGGTTTTAGCTGAGAACACAAAATATAAAATGAGACCAAGAGAAAGAAGGATCTGACTGTCTGGTCTGATTTGATATATGCATGGGAAATACCTTAATTAATGAAAGCAATGGTCAAGGGAACTCTAATGGCTTACAGTATTGAGGGTAGGGGTGGGAGGAGTGGGATCAGAGAGGCTGATGAAGACCCTGAAAGAGGAATTCTTGCTCATGGGGTCAGGATATTGATAAGGAGAATGGAGAAGAGATTTTATAATGAGTATTAGAAATAAAGATTTGGGGAAAGTCAATAAACTCTTAGAGATTTTATTCTAGCACCTCTTCTCTCCTTTAAAATGTGACCCTTACATATTTAAAAGAGGAATTCTATTTATTGTAATACCAAACTTCTGACTCTAAATTTCTTAATCCTACAATAATAGTGAACTGTCATAAGGATAATGTACCAATACAGTGTTTCAAATAACTTGTACCGGCAAGCCCGATTCCTTACACACCTACGAAGCAAAGGCATTACCAACAGCATTTGGCAATAAACTATTTAATTCAAGTTTCTATTGATTTCAACATAATAAAAAGCTGGTACATTTCCTGGAACTAGGGGCTGGGGGAATGAAGGAGAATTCTTATATGTTTCCTTTTGATTCTATTCCAAAAGTCAGTTGAACCAGGATAAGAGTTAGAATTTCAACTTGAAATAGGAAAACCATTTTTTTCTCGTCTCAGATCAGTCCATCTGTCTTACACAGTTTCCCTCTTCTCCTCAGATATTTTCTCTGAAAAGAATTTATGTCTGATGTCTGATGAAAACAATTTATGTCAGACATAAATTCAGAATTTAGGGCTGAATTTATGTTCACACGTCCTTAGGTTCTAAAATGGTATCAGGGCATGAGGACATATGGAAACACCCTGGGGTACCTGGGAGAAGAAATATTTCGATAATGGAAAAGTTTATTGAAGCCAGGGGACTTCGAATTATTGAACCAAATCAAACCCAAAATAGACAAAAATGTCCATAACTTATAAGTTTCCTTATATCAAATGAGGATTAGAAAGACTCTCAAGAGGGAGAAGCAGTGTTAATGGCCTTAGAATCAGATTTAAACCTTAAAAAAATTCTACATTTTAAATTAATTCATATTTAAACAAGGAGATTCAATCCAAAATTAGACGAGGGAATTGAGTTTAATGAAAAAATATTTACAAAGCTTAGCACAGTATAAATTTCTATAGGAGCAGCACCCTGCCCTTAAGGGACTTATTAGGATGATATGTTTAAAAAATAAAAGAATTAAGAGAGAACTTAACACTTTTTGAACTATTCGTTAGTGTTCATATGGAAGCAGGTTTAAACTGCAGGAGACAGGTGAAGCAAATTGCATCTCAATTACAAGAAAGAGTGTT